TATACTAAATATTTGTTATACATGGTTAGAAATAATAAATTCGCGCGAAAGTAAAGCACATTGTAGGTATTTCAACTCAGATAGTCGTCGCCATGTTAAAACTTACCATTTTCGAATGTTAAATTGTACTAAAATTGTAATGTAGCACTCTAAGTGTTGACTTGTTAAATTGTACTAAAATTGTAATGTAGCACTCTAAGTGTTGACTTGTTAAATTGTACTAAAATTGTAATGTAGCACTCTAAGTGTTGACTTGTTAAATTGTACTAAAATTGTAATGTAGAACTCTAAGTGTTGACTTGTTAAATTGTACTAAAACTGTAATGTAGCACTCTTGGTTTTGACTAGTTAAATTGAACTAAAATTTTGATTTAGTACTCTAGGTGTTGACTAGTTAAATTGTACTAAAACTTTAATTTAGCACTCTAGGTGTTGACTAGTTAAATTGCACTAAAAAAATAATGTAGCACTCTTGGTGTTGACTAGTTAATTGTACTAAAACTGTGACGTAACACTCTGGGTGTTGACTTGTTAAATTGAACTAAAACTATAATTTAGCACTCAAGGTATTGACTTGTTAAATTGTACTAAAACTTTAATGTAGCACTCTTGGTGTTAACTAGTTAATAGTACTAAAACTTTAATGTAGCACTCTAGGTGTTGACTTGTTAAACATCACATGACAACATTACTGATGACCTGAATGGAGGTACCTGTCTTCTAGAGAAGTTAGGTCCATCAAATTTGGCCAAATCTCCCACACTAGCCCCGGGTAAGATACAAGTTCGGATGACCAGGAGAAGATAAATGGACCATTTCTGACAGAGGTCAACATCTCTTGTTTGGCATGTCCCATTAGATATGCTAAGCGTTTCCTAATCCGACGTGAAAACGTTTTAGTCACATAATAACTTCCACAGGTGTACATCAGGGTTACGTGTTAAGTCAGGATTAATTACATGTAAACCTTATGTAAACATAGCAACCAATAAACATTTCGAAAAAAAAATCATTTATAATTTATTTTCTAATAAACTTACTCATACTCAGGTAGATAAATATATGTCACCTGGTGCCTTTTTGGGACTTTTTACCTGTGTGACGTCATTTTGCAGTGCCCAGCGGCGTGTCGTTAGACGTAGAATAGACAGATGTATCAAGTGCGGAGTTGATACCGCATCAAAGGGTCTCTCGGACGAGGGCAAGTTTCAGGGCAGGTTGAGCTACATACCGCTATAAAACTGCGCGAAATCGTCAACGGTGGCGGCGTGGTGCAGAACTACATTGTTACAAGTTGTGTAATGGTTTAGGAAAATTTGCTTTTCTCGTCCAAGGTAAGAACTATGAAGTAAATTTACATCCGTTGATATCTTTTAATGTTTATATGAAACCTATTTCCAATTTCACGAATGAGCTTTGTTTTAGAAACATTAAGTTTGTGTGAGAACCAATATATGTTGATACATCCATGAACAGATGCATGAAATTGAATCCCCTTTATATCATACAATGTCATACCATTTTGGATTTAGAGTGTTAAAAAATAACTTTTCATTGTTTGAAATCAACTGCATTATATTTAAGTTCATATCAAATTCACAATACATTTATGCGTGTTTTTGGAAAATCAAATCTTTATCATTTCTGAACAGAAATCTTTTTTGAAGTACAAAGCCAAATATGTATTGTCACTGGTAGAGCCGATTTCGGTTTTTACAAGGTGACGACACAAAATACCTTTTAAGGGCGATATCCGGTAAAAAAATCAGTACATCCTCGTGTTTGTCTATTTTTCACTTAATTTGGATTTAATTATCAATTTAGTTGATAAGTTTAAAACTTTATACCACATCATCATTTTTTATTACTGTTGTCTGAATATTTTAATCAATGTTATCACCCATTTAGGATTTCACCAAATATGTATAATCAAAGCCACACATTTCTCATTTTCAACTGATAATTCGCTATCTGTCGACCTTTTTCATTTGCTTTATGCATATAGTATCATGGGACAAATTAGTACAACCCATAACATATATATATATATATGAAGTAACAGGTATTGAAATACATTAGAATTCGTATCAAGTGCGCGATCTTTTGGTCCCTCGTCCTACAGAGAGTTCTTCTATTTCAACACCACTTTCCATAGTCTTCGTTAAGGATATTACTGACGCTCAGGCGATATAACCCGTCACGTGATTCTAGTTATTCTACATAGTTGGAGGATGAGGAACATGACCGTAGAACACAATGCTTTTAAAATTGACATTTTAACTTTCATCAGCATATCAATTTGAAGTGTCAAGGAATTAATATTCTGAGGTCATGATGTCTTATTATTTTAGAAAATGGCCAAGTTATGATTTTTTTTGAGTTTTGACTTTGTGCAATCCTATTTGTAATAATGTCGTTTGAACTTTAAAATATTTGAATGTAAAGCAGGCCTGATTATTAATTTTCATTATGTAGACATTTAGTCGTAAGTAAACCTAATTATTCATCTGTTCAATGAGTTATTTGATCTTAATCATATGTCGTTGTTTTACATTGTCCCAAGTCGTATCTCCTAACTAAAGTCTACCACAGTGATATCTTCAATTTTACATTGAACTGCACCAATACATTTCATTATATATCTTATCAATATTTATATATATTTGACTAAGTTGTTGCAATTTGAGCAGTAAAATATCTTCTTGTGAATAACTGCTAATGATTTTTTAAGTAATTGATAATAATTTATCGCGTGCATTTTACATGTATATGATAGAGGCTATCACTTTCACAAATTGTCGACACAACCCTTTCTTACCAATAGTCAGTGGTCAGCTTGACCAATCAATCAGAGCAGACGGGACGTAATTATGACAAATAGTCTGTTGTAATGGTTATGTTAATAGAATGTTTTACGGGCGGAGTGTCAATGATGTCTGTTTCTGTCCACTCACCGGTCAGTACATGTGTAGCGTCCACCTAACAACCTATTTACATTCTGTACATGTCCAGGTATTGAACAGGACCAGAATCTTTAATATATATATGGCGGCATATTTCTGCTATAAATATCCTTGAAATTTGAAGTCGAGTCAAATGTGTATTTAAACAATTAATTCAAAATAAGAAAATGTCATATCTAAATCTTGAAATATTTTAACTTTAAATTTACGTTTAGGGAAAGCTCCTTTATATTAAAATTAGACCTTACAAGATTCTTCACAAATTTGAGACGAAAATGGTTAAGATAAAATGGTTTCAATTCAAAGTAAAAATACAAATTGATACATCTCGCTTAGTTCCATTTCATTAAGTCTGTTAAATGATAGCCTACTTGAATGACTGGTTTCAACTTAGCACGAGTGGGTGAGTTCTTTGGCCAGTTTTACGTAGCTGCAATATTAGATATTCCCAGAAACTATCGGATCCTTTATCGCCTGAGGCCAATGTCAAACAGTTGGAATATCCAACCCATTTAGGATACTGTGGAAGTGATACTAACTCTCTGCCAGTTATTCACCGACTTGATCAACCAATTGGTCAGTTAAAAGTGGACAGGAGTATACAATAGTCTTCAAATGGCGTCCGCTGACCGGTAATGACAGGTTGTTCAATTCTATCGAAACAATGGTCGACCTGTGACATTTTGATTACCTCCCTTTACCCTGCAGACAAGACGTTTTCTCCATGGATCTGTTACGTAGACTCGTGACTTAGTATGACAAACTTATGGCGTAACTTGATTGTAAAACAAAGTTCTCCACAGCATAACCTTACCATTCATCTGTTTCTCTGGTTTGTGTGGGAATTTATCAATAAATGCAACCAAGTCGTTCCCATTTACAAATATTTCATTGTATCATCGCTTGGAAACTAGGCCTTTGATACAATTTTGCTACAGTTTTTTTTAATTCTTAAGATATGAGCTCTAAGTTAAGTGATATCAATTGCTATTTTGTTAAAACAAATCCTATCTCTAAATTTGATCAGTGGAAACAAAATTACTTTAAATGCTATTGACGTTTGTATGAAATATATCGACAGTGAACAAACAATATCAAGTCAGATATCTTTCTGAAATGTTTACAATTTTTTTTTTATATATTTTCTGCCATAATAGAATAAATTAATTGTCAACAACATCCTTGTGAAATGTTCATTGTTGATTTCGTTGTTGTTTACGTTAGTGAACAAAGCAACCTTTTTTCTGTTACTGGTCACGAACTAGTTAACATAAACTACTACAAGACGAGTTGATAGAAGTATTACGTACTTGACAGCCTAATATTATAATCTTATCATTTAAGAATATCCTTATAATTCTTAAATCCAATACCAATGTTAAGGATTTAAAATTTGTAACTCAAAGTAAGTATTTTTCATTTTATATAAATGTTCATGTTTTAAAATCCAAGATATTACGCCTTAAAAAACATATATCATTGACAGATTAAGCTGACAAGGCTTTAAATAACTGTCCCTGATGTCCGCTTCATCGTAGTAATGCAGATATAATTAATACTCTCTTGCGTCCAATTTGGCAATGAACAATATAACTGTGACCTCTCTGACCCGGAGAGGTCAAAGGACAACGCTAACAGGACATAATAAGAAAGGATTATGACAAGTTTTCACCAACTAAGCCCGAAGTCATGAGTTGGGTGTGAGTGCGGAACATGACGATGCTTTTTATGTATATATATGCCATGTTTAAGCTAATTGTAATGTTATCTTAATACATTTTTATATTCAAGACGATTTTTTCCTTCAACTTTTTAGTATAATAAAGCATTTATAAATCATACAATTACATTATAAAATAAAGACATCTTTAGAAAAATCGATTTGATTTCTATATTATGTTTTAAGCTATTTTACATTGTCAAGTGTTTAACTAAGAAGAAATGTTAAAATTTTTAAGTAATGCTGAAATGAACATGGTCTAGTGTAAAGATTTGATTCAAACTTATCTTTACTTTCAGTTATAGCTGAAAAGCAAGATGAAGCTACCGATTTCGTTAGTGCTTCTAGCACTGATGGTACATAATGCATATCAACAAGGTAAGATTCTAATGTTCGAAGTTTCACCAAAGTGTGGACATAAAAGGATATATTTTTCAATTAAGGCATGAAACGGACCATCGTCTCATTCACGATTTACATAATTATCGAAAATAGTGAAGAAAAGACAAATTTGAGACTGACAACTATCAGTGTAAGACTCTCAGTGTAAGACTGACAACTATCAGTGTAAGACTATCAGTGTAAGACTTACAACTATCAGTGTAAGACTGACAACTATCAGTGTAAGACTGACAACTATCAGTGTAAGACTATCAGTGTAAGACTGACAACTATCAGTGTAAGACTGACAACTATCAGTGTAAGACTTACAACTATCAGTGTAAGACCGACAACTATCAGTGTAAGACCGACAACTATCAGTGTAAGACTGACAACTATCAGTGTAAGACTGACAACTATCAGTGTAGGACTATCAGTGTAAGACTGACAACTATCAGTGTAAGACTGACAACTATCAGTGTAAGACTATCAGTGTAAGACTGACAACTATCAGTGTAAGACTGACAAATATCAGTGTGAGACTGACAACTATCATTGTAAGACTGACAACTATCAGTGTAAGACTGACAACTATCAGTGTAAGACCGACAACTATCAGTGTAAGACCGACAACTATCAGTATAAGACTGACAACTATCAGTGTAAGACTGACAACTATCAGTGTAAGACTGACTACTATCAGTGTAAGACTGACAACTATCACTGTAAGACTGACAACTATCAGTGTAAGACTGACAACTATCAGTGTAAGACCGACTACTATCAGTGTAAGACTATCAGTGTAAGACTATCAGTGTAAGACCTACAACTATCAGTGTAAGACCGACTACTATCAGTGTAAGACTATCAGTGTAAGACCTACAACTATCAGTGTAAGACCGACAACTATCAGTGTAAGACTGACAACTATCAGTGTAAGACCGACTACTATCAGTGTAAGACTATCAGTGTAAGACTGACAACTATCAGTATAAGACTGACAACTATCAGTGTGTGACTGACAACTATCAGTGTAAGACTATCAGTGTAAGACTGACAACTATCAGTGTAAGACTGACAACTATCAGTGTAAGACTGACAACTATCAGTGTAAGACCGACAACTATCAGTGTAAGACCGACAACTATCAGTATAAGACTGACAACTATCAGTGTAAGACTGACAACTATCAGTGTAAGACTGACAACTATCAGTGTAAGACTTACAACTATCAGTGTAAGACTGACAACTATCAGTGTAAGACGGACAACTATCAGTGTAAGACCGACAACTATCAGTGTAAGACCGACAACTATCAGTATAAGACTGACAACTATCAGTGTAAGACTGACAACTATCAGTGTAAGACTGACAACTATCAGTGTAAGACTGACAACTATCAGTGTAAGACTGACAACTATCAGTGTAAGACTTACAACTATCAGTGTAAGACTGACAACTATCAGTGTAAGACTGACAACTATCAGTGTAAGACTGACAACTATCACTGTAAGATTGACAACTATCAGTGTAAGACTGACAACTATCAGTGTAAGACCGACTACTATCAGTGTAAGACTATCAGTGTAAGACCTACAGCTATCAGTGTAAGACCGACAACTATCAGTGTAAGACTGACAACTATCAGTGTAAGACCGACTACTATCAGTGTAAGACTATCAGTGTAAGACTGACAACTATCAGTATAAGACTGACAACTATCAGTGTAAGACGGACAACTATCAGTGTAAGACTGACAACTATCAGTGTAAGACTAACAACTATCAGTGTAAGACTAACAACTATCAGTGTAAGACTAACAACTATCAGTGTAAGACTGACAACTATCAGTGTAAGACTATCAGTGTAAGACTGACAACTATCAGTGTAAGACTAACAACTATCAGTGTAAGACTAACAGCTATCAGTGTAAGACGGACAACTTCAAATACTATAAAACAAGAGGTATTCCTTTTTAGGAGTCAACGCCCACCAAACACAAAATAACATTATTATTTCACAAAGATATTGAACAAAAGACACACAAGAGAATAAATATGAAAATACAATCCATCTATTGAGATAATTTAATGCTAATTAATTTGAACTACTGATCTTGAAGAAAAACACTAGATACCGTCTATACTAACGAACTTAACCATATCATAGCTTTATTCTTCTTGAGAATCTTCAAAACTATTGAAGGGGAAATTTAATTATAAAGAGGAACAGCAAGTTATCTAATTATAGAATAAAATAATAGTTACACAGTCTGACGAAAGCAGTAAAGGATGATCTACGAGTGTTTAAATGTTCTGTTTTAATATGATATAAACTTTTCGTAAAGGGGTTTATAACAAGCAAGGGAAGATTTTAACGCAAGATAGAATACATTGGACTCGCTGATGCTTATCCTTATGTTTGATTCAGATCATCAAGTGTAAATATTTAAAATGTTATATCTTGGAATAGGTTTTTCGTGTTCATTTTATATGTGGAATTTCAGTGTATTCCTCGCAGCATTACACAGTTTTCAGTCATGTAGAGAATCACTTATATTGTAATAATTATAAAAATATGAAAATATAAATGTTGTACAAAGTATAAGAATATTAATGTACAAAGTATAAAACATATTAATGTTATACAAAGTATGGACATACAAATGTTGTACAAAGTATAAGATATAAATTTTGTACACAGTACAGAAATAGAATTGATGTACAAAGTATAAAGGCAGTGAATGTTATACAAAGTATTACGATATAACTATTATACAAGGGATAAAGATACAAATGCTGTATAAAGTATTAGGATATAAATGTTGTACGAAGTATATGAATATGATTATTGTTCAAAGTATAAAATGATAATAGTTGCAAGAATTAAAATGCCACATAAAGCATGAACACATGAAAGTTATACAAATGTAAAAAATGAACTATAAATTCACGTTTCAGTACTCAACTGTTATGTGCCCGCCGATATTATGATTCTTATTGATGGATCCGACAGCATACAGGACCAGAACTGGAGAGAAATAAAGAACTTCGTGAGTCAACTTGTGGCTAATTTCGACATTGGCAGAGACGCGATTCACGTTGGCTTTGTTGTTTACAGTTCCGATGTCGGGGACCATATCGGTCTCCAACCTTATAAACCGAAAAATGTTTTGAGAACTTTGTCAGGAATCTTACGACAACCCAAAGCAAGTACAAATACGGCTAAGGGCATACAGTATGTGCGAAATGAATTTAAAACACGTGGGAGAGCTGGCGTTCCTAAAATTCTCATCGTCATCACCGACGGAAGTTCTGATAATCCAAGAGAAACAAGGACACAGGCCAATTTGGCGAAGATTGAAGGTACCCGAGTGATTGCAGTTGGTATCGGCCAAACATTTAGAGATGAATTACGACAGATTGCGTCTCGGCCTGAAAAGGTTTACACCGCTGCATCGTTTGCCACTCTGCAGACCCTGGTGTTTGAGATCCAAAAAATGGTCTGTCAAGGTAAGGACGTATCTAAACACTGGGTTAGACATGTTGTAGGCGTCCATGCGGTATAGGGATATACCCCTTACATCTCCCTGTATATATTTACCGTGACAATTATATGTCTTATGAGTTCCAACTGACAATACAAATGCACTAATCTATGAATCTCAACATTTCCAATTACCAATCCTTCGGACAAAAGTTCGTTTCATATAGAATTTTTTGGTTCAATACCTATGAACTATTTACGTGACATAAACATCGCACTGCTGAAATTTCATGAAAACAATAATGAAAATGTTTGTTAAATCTTAATATATTTTGAAGTAACTGGTAAAGAAGTTTTTAATGACAGAAAGCTTCCAGTATTATGCTTCTTTATATATTTTTGAAGATTAAGTCTCATCAATTGACAATATTGTTGAATATTGTGGTTTAGCGAAATGAAATATTGTAGAACGAGCCAAAAGATTCGCCTCTGTTTGACAAAGTATCTCTGTGCTTCTGAAATTAGTCGCTTTTCTTCTTAAAAATTATCACAATATTATTGACATTAGGACTTTAAACCAAATTTTAAAATCAACAAATAAAAATTACAAGGCAATATAACCGATATTTATGGTTGTGAAGATAAGTGAAGGCGAGAGACTAGCATGTTCTATATGTATATAATTTCCCCTCTTTCATTTAACTGGTTTCATCGTTTATTCTAGTAATCACAACAACAACGACTACAACAACTGCAATTCCTGTACCTACGAAACCTCCTGTGGTTATACCTGTACCAACAGGTACGTATGTCATAATGACAAGGGCGCAACATTTGAGTTTTGGAATATAACCAATTAATATATACATTTGCATGTACATATATATCATTACGCACAAAGACGTATAATTTCACATATTTTTTGCTCCGATAATGAACAGATAATGTAGAAATTACCTTGCCTTAAAATCAATTAAAAATTAATCCGACAATCATTTCACTGTGAATAAACCCTTAAGTGCTTATCTCAGCACAAAATTATAGACACACCACTATTATGTACGAGAAATAAGTTATCACATTGGTCAATATACGAGCACAAGATGCTTTACCACGTCATCTCAAGGACAGAATTATCTAAAGAATAATTACTATCCAACAGCCTCAACACTAGAATTCAGTGTCCATCGACAAAAGTGAAAGCACCTGTGTTTGTCTTTGTCATATTTTCTTGTTTTACAGATAGAATCTGTGATGTTCCCGGGGACATTGTCTTTGTGATGGACGGATCGGATAGTATTGATGATGCCGATTTCATTCGTCAGAAACAGTTCGTTGCTAATCTTATCGATAATTTCGAGATAAGTACAGATGCCATACACGTGGGTTTAGTAGTGTACAGTACAATTATAGGAGACACAGTCGGTTTACAACCTCCTAAAAACAAAGAACTCCTCAAAATTCTCGCTAGAAATTTACGACATCCGAAAGTTGGAACGAACACAGCACTTGGTATTGAGCGTGCACGTGATATGATCAGAAAGGAAGGGCGTACGATGGCCCCCAAACTTATCGTTGTCATCACTGATGGTAGATCAAGTTCACCTAAACTCACCGTCGCCCAGGCGAACATGGCGAAGGTTGAAGGAATCACCATGGTAGCAGTTGGTGTCGGCACTCAAATCTTTAGTGATGAACTCAGTCAGATCGCCAGTAGTAGCAGGAAAGTATTCGAAGTATCTGACTTCACCTCGCTGGAGCTGATCATCACTTCAATGAGAAATCTGCTTTGTCAAGGTTTGTATATTCAGATAAAACTGCTATAAATTTTGACTCTTGGTTAAATTTTTCCGGTTTTACCAGAAAAAATGTGTTATTATTCTACTGAAATCCGGAAACGGACTATATTTTTCACTATTGATTTCATTTTCGATTTAACAACTTTAAATACAAAATTGAGCCCTTTCAAAGGGGACAGATAGAGTAGGATGACATGACAAGTTATTATCCATTTTAGTAAATTGGAGGACAATTTTTTCTTTTTTTGCTAAGACAGATGTATTTTGGTTAATGCAATCTCTGTTAATATCAAATGATTTATATCGGTGTTACATACAGTGGAATCTATGTATTTTGTGCGGTTGTAAAGTTGATATTTTATTTATATGTATGTGGATGTGAAAACGACACTGTTATGTTGTTTCTCAGTGCCAACTGCTAACAGTAACTACGTTACGTTCGCTATGGCAACTTTCTCTTCAATACCATTTGTGAGATTAGTGAAGAAAGGAGTTGTCCTTTTCTGCTTCTTGGTTTCTGAATTACATCACACCTGCATGCATTTGGAAAGGACAGCAAAGTGACGATGTGAAAATTGTGTTTGTAGTTCCACAGACATATCGCAAAATAGGAAGTCTCCTTTTCTAAAATTAGTGTAACAGCGTGTATTTGGGCACTATAAAATTTTAATGTATTTCAGCAATTACCACGACTACCTCAACGACTACCACGACACAGAAACCGACATACATCCCACCACCAGACGGTATGTTATTTAAATTTCAGATACGTTGTATATCATTTTGTACAATTTAAGAAGTGTAAATAATTTTTAAATGTGATATACAAACGTATTCTGTAGAAACTAGACCTTCATCAAATGAAATGGAATAGAAGATTAAAATTCTAATGTAAGGCATTTATATCATCTAGTGTTTCCTTGTTTTATCAACGTTTAAATTAGTCTTTGATAAGCGACAAAAAGTGGGTTTTGGACGTATAACGAAATTTTAAGTGAAATTATATTTATCTTCACTTATAAAGTTATTTCTTTTTTGTTTTATTTTCTCTTTTGTTTTGAATCACAGACCTATTCTGTACGGTACCTGCCGATATTGGCATTCTCCTTGATGGATCCGACAGCATTGCCGACGCCGACTGGAGTAAGCAGAAGCATTTCGTCGCCAGTCTCATTAACAATCTCGACGTCGGCCGGGATACGATTCACGTCGGCGTCGTTGTCTTCAGTACAATTATCGGCGAGACAGTAGGTCTGACGCCATTCAAACCGAAAGAATTGTTAATGATTTTGTCGAACAACCTCAAACAACCAAAGGTCGGCACAAATACTGCATTGGGAATTCAGCGCATGCGCCAAATGCTTGCAACTCAAGGTCGCGCAAACGCTCCAAAAGTGATGATCATTATCACTGACGGTAAATCCTCGTCTCCCAAGAAGACTATAAATCAGGCAACCCTGGCTAAAAGAGATGGAATCACCGTCATCGCTGTTGGTGTAGGATCTCAATTGTTCCGAGAAGAACTCAGCCAGATCGCTACCAATGACAGGAAACTATTTACTGTGTCCGATTTCCAGGGTCTACAGCAGATCATAGTGACACTGAGAAACTTGATTTGTCAAGGTAAGATATATGTTATCTAATCTATTTTAAGACATTAGAATTTACAATGATTTGATATTCGATACATATTTGATAAATGTACAACCGCACGTAGCCATGGTTACACCAAATAAGTTTTATCTATTTTGAACTCGCCAACGATATTGAGTTAAAAGTTGTGAAAATACCCGTTAAAATGTAATTTGAAAGACAAATGAACAGTACCCAATAGCTTTTCTAAACATTACAAATGAACATTTTCTCTTCAGTGGATCTAAAATAATTATTTCATTAAAAATGGTGTAGATTCCAACTATAAAATCAAAGTACTGAAAGTACTGAGAGGCTAAACGTATTGAAAAATGTTCACAAATAACCGCTAAGCTATATTACTTTCCCCATACCCCTACACTTTGGAATGCAAAAATTACTAAAATAAGAGAACCTGAGGCTATTTGTCCTCACTTTAAGCGATTTTATATCTTCTTTAATTCTTATTTCAAATTTGACGACAATAATGTGAACAAATCAAAATAGGTGAAAAAAATTAACAAAATACACACAACCATATATTTATCGCCAACAAGCCAAATGATAAATAGCTCTATGATGAAGTTGACTAAAGAAAACCTTTGAAATACCCAAGATGTTGCAATTACTATCCTATCAATATGAGGATTTAGACAAATCGAAAGGACTTTATACCTACTTCTTTATTTTGAATGAATTGCAAAGTTATAGTCCTTACTTATTATAGTTATATTTGTAGTTGAGGAAAGTAAATAAGGTATACACAGCATTTCAGATAGATAAAAGTGTAAGTAATTACATTAAATGTATTTACATGCCTATCTTCCTTGAAGTATCATGGTTAAACTTTCCTTCCAGTAATTATGTCTATAAAGGCATAGTTCTACGAGATTAAACCAGACTTCCATATATATACAAAATTTACAATATTTTCACTATAGCTACTACTTTTTCTGATCTCCAATGCATTAGATTAAACATGTTATGGAAATATTTCGTTTTAGCTAATTAATAATTATAAACATGAATATTTTGGGGTTTTATATACGCGCTTTGTTTGAAGGAATATTTTCATTTCAAGGAACTTTTATAGACATTAACAAACCTTGAGAAATCAGCACAATCAACCTTCATCAAATAAAACTAAAAGTACAGTATTAAAAATATATTATTCATAAAGCACCAAATGTACCTTGCCTACGAAACGCAAAACTTTTTATCTTCAAAAACTTGAAAAAGTGTCATGGCGGTGGGTGTGAAAAACCTGAAAAAAGTGTCATATCGGCGGGTGTGCGCGTAGGACGAACAGTCCAATTTCGTGACGTCTAATGAGGTAAAGTGATGTTATATAATAAGACGATCTTGCCACAACGACAAGGATTAAAGCAAAATTGATGTTCTGTTTGTAAGTTTTGTTTGTTTATCAGTGCTGATAGTTGATAATTCAAACCCAAGCCCCCAGACTAGCTTCTTATCATGGCGCCAACTTGCACTTACAGTGTTCTGTACGCTTACGTCATGTCGAGAATTCCGTAAAATATATTGTTCAAAATTTATCAATAGTTCAACAACACTGTGCTTCGTTTTTGAAACATATAGTAATCGTATTGTTATTAATAAAAATAAACTAATTTTGGATGCTTTTAAAATAGCGATTTGAAAAATCGCGGCATCATTTACACAGAAAATTGCCGCTAGAGGGCTCTAACTCTTTTCGATATTTCAGCCAATGAGAAAGACAGGATCGGTAAATTTTGTCTGAAAGGCCGTCGCAATAGGCTATGCCTACTGAGTACGTTTAGCCTAATCATAGTCATTCACCTTCTAGAAGATAACGACAACCTTGAAACTGATAGTTATAAGGTCACGACCGACCTCGAAACTTATAGTTATAAGGTCACGACCAACCTCGAAACTGATAGTTATAAGGTCACGACCAACCTAGAAACTGATAGTTATAAGGTCACGACCAACCTCGAAACTGATAGGTATAAGGTTACGGTCAGCCTCGAAATTAATAATTATAAGGTTACGGCCAACCTTGAAACTGATAGTTATAAGGTTACAGCCAACCTTGGGGTCTAATAGTCATATCACCAAATATAAATTTAGGATCAATCCCGGGGACTGGTAGTCTCACCACCAGATATAAGTTAAGGACCAACCTCAGGGATTGATAGTCTCATCTCCAGATATAAGTTTAGGAACAATTTAGGGACTGATAGTATCACCATCAGATATAAGTTAACGGCAAACCTCGGGGTCTGATGGTCTCACCACCAGGTATAAGTCTAGGACCAACCTCAGGGACTGAAAGTCTTTCAGTGAGGAGTTAACTGACCTCCACGGGGATTAAATTCCACCAGGTAGAAGTTTATGACCAACCTCGGGGAACTTAAGGCAACAACGTAGAGGTGTCCACCAACACCAGAGATTGAAATTCCACCACACAGATGTTTACCGCCAACCTCGGCGTGCCTTGCAGAGTTTATGGCCAACCTCGGGGATTGAAAGTCCAATTTGCATAAAATTAACTTCCAGCCTCTGAGAACAATAGAACATAGGCCATAAGGCCGATCTCACGGATCTGTATTCCTAAGAACAAGATGACGGATAAACTACCAGTGACTAGATTAATGTGAAGTTCAAAGACTGAGAGTTCACCCGTTCTTTAAATGTAATTAACAAATGTATTTAATCATTGTTCCATTCCAATGTTCTATTTCTCCTATAGGGTGATCGGAACATGTTCATTAAAAGATCGTAAAATAATACCAAATGATGTTAAACAAATCTTTATTATTCAAAATATAAAACATTGACGTAAAGTGATGAAATCTGTTTATTACAATTTGTACTTTAACATATATTCACAGAGAATAATCTGCAGATATCATTACGGTTTGGAGATAAAATATCCACGTTATAGGAGAATTGTATCAGCTACACGAGATATAAGTGTCACAATACTGAATAACCATATCCGTTTATCAGAACAGTGGGCTGTGCAATTTATTTCACTAGGCATTTATAATTCAGCTATCGAAGTTTTTTCATGGCTGAAAAGAAGAATTGTGTGTCTATCAAGCACATGAATGACAATTTAAATTTTAAATTCCTTGTGATAAGATGTTTTAAGTTATGTTGATACGATGCTGTCTAACCGTCCGTACATCTGTCTTTCTTTTGTCGTAAACACATTCCTTAAAACCGGGATTATTCGTGTTGGGAATATTAGATCTAATTGTACGATGTTTGTTTCCTTCTTAACATCCTAAACGGAATAAATCGATAATCGAAATCATATGGAATGTATCGGCATTATGCAAATAATGATTTTTACATGACGTATGCATGTTTGCGTTGTTCTAATGAAGATTCACCCATCATTATTTGTGTACTTTTTAAGGTTCACCTGTAAAACTTGACACTTAAGTTGGTAATTAACACACTCATGAATAGTTTCCAAATATTTTGTTAAGTTTTAATTCTTTACTAATTAAAGTGGTTTGGAATCTAATTGATTTTATATCTAAATTTGACATATTTTCGTCGTCATACATGTTGATGACTGCTAAACACTGTACTTATCAGACTACATTAGATATTTGCTTACTTATGTGTTTTTTTTAAATAATGTATGATAATAAATAAATAAGGGATACGTAAACAAGGTAAAATAAGAACGTGAGAACAGTTAATGAGTATGTTATCTAAAGAACATTTTAAGGACAATCATTTATACACAATATTGATAAAACTTTAGTGTGGTAATGTTAAATTGAGGCAAATGTATCGAATAGATCCGAAACAGCATCACAAATGAGTATCCGTAATAAACATTGATGGGAACAAATTGAAACATATGTAAAACACGTAATTAGAAGGAAATAAATGTAATCTAATTAAATGATTATGTCAACATTTACCGCACCCTTTAATACGTAACTTCGACTGCCGCCCAATGACATCATTTGTGTGAATATATGCAGCGTTTAACCTCAGCATGTCAGGTATATGTATAGCTCGGAGAGTGCCGAAAGGCATTCTATTTTTAGAACATTGTCACTTCATGGAAGAAAATAATCTTCAATCATTGAGATTTCCTATGAACTCAAGAGTAGTATGACAGAGATGAAACACACCCGTCCTCTTGGTGTCATAGCCATTTGTCAAGCGCAGGGCGGACCTGGATTACTGCCCATACTTACTACACATCGTCTCACAATACTCATCCGCAATATTTTACAAACAGGATATAAAATAATATCGGTGTTAAATATTTAATGCGAAGTCGACAACTCAATATACTTAATTATAATATATAATTATCACACAAAATCAAAATGATTAAATCAAAAGTTTGTGAAATTTGCATTGAAGTATTTACAATGTCTCTTCAATTTTCTTAATCTTGTTAAACATCACAGTCTACGATATACCATGTACAGCATTTAAGTTCATCAAATAGCCGTACTGCTGATTCAATGTCGAGATTATTATTCTTCAAAAATGTTTAAGATAGCGCCATTATCAATGACAGACAATACATACGTAAAATTGTATTAATTACACAAAGTCTATCAGGAAAACGCTTATCATATTCATCTGTTTTATCTGTGACGTTTTTTCAAAGATCATACCGCTGTTTTGTCCTTCTAGGACTCTTCAGTGATGCTAAGGGTGGAAAGTTTGAAGCCTATTAGGCGAACATCCAAAATGATAAAAAGAAAACGAAAGATGCATTAGCCCCTTAATTTAATCAATTTGATAATTTTCTGATTAATTCTGTAGAACGTCAAGTACTTGTAATATAAATAATACAATTTCCTTTACCTGTCTATTATATATCTCTTGTCTGCCGTTCAGGATCCTAAGTACGTAACCACTAAACCAAACTTTGATTATGTAACTTTTGCCTATAAAACCTCCGTATTCTTTCACTTCACAGTCATCACTACGACTACAACCACCCAGCTCGTGACCACGCCCATACCGCCACCTGTCACCATTCCTCCATGTAAGTAACACGTGACATTGATTGATAAATGAACATTAGCCACACATTGACTTTCGTGGTCTCCAAATTTTGCTTTCCTAGAATATGTATACAATCTCATGAGTATATATGACGGAGCCAACTAATACCTTTTTTTCATGTGAACACTTGAGTTCGTTTATCAAGAGTAACATGACGCTGCCCAAATTCGAACACTTTTTGAAAAATTGTGAAATATTTTCCAATATGTTCCATTTCGGGTAGCGTTCAATTTCAGGTAGCGGTCCATTTTGGGAACCGTTCCATTTCGAGTAATGTTCCATTTCGTGTAGCGTTCCTTTACGGTCGGGTAGCATTCCATTTCAGGTTTCATTCCATTTCGGGAAACGTTCCAATTTGAGTAGCGTCATGTTACCCCACAAAAACAACAAAAATAACGTCTCTATCAACTTTACACATAACAAGATTGTAAAGGTTTACAATGATTAAAAATAATACTAATGTCTTTAAGATACATGTTAATGGTAATTGATTACAGAATATAGGTAACGAAGTGATTTTGTTTTCGAGGCCAGGATTGGCAGAAGAATATCCTCTTTCTTTTCATCTTTCGTTATTTACGTGTTTCCTTTACTATACTTTAACAAATCATTTCCCGATTGTTTTCCTTCAATAATGAACAAGCCATTTCTAGCATGATCTATTAATTGCACTACTTCTTTCCAGATCCAGGATGTGAGGTGCCAGCAGAGATTGTTTTCATGATCCATGGTTCTGATGATATCAAGGAAGACAACTGGGGTTTGAATCAGAAGTTCCTAAGCGGCCTTGTACGTAATCTATATGTAACCAGAGGTGCTCACCATATTGGAATGGTAGTGTACAGTAAAAGTGTTGGAGACCACATGTCCCTGCAACCATTCAAAGAGGTGTTTGATGTCCAGAATCACATCAATAGTTTTACTCACCCAAGGTCAGGTGCAAACACCGCTGCCGGTAAGTCCTTATAAATTTAGTTCTTTTGATTTCTTCTATAGAATAATTGAAATGATGCACTTTGGTGTTTTAGCATTTCAGGTTAATGAAGAAAAGTAACTTCTCAGCTTTCTCATATTTTCGGTTATAAATGTCAGAACTCTTCAAGCAATATAACTTGATGCAATATCTCTTTCGCAGTTAAAGTGAATTTAAGAATATATTCAAACCAATCTTTGATATTGCCTTTTTGCATTTTCCCGGAAATTTAACAAAATGTCTAATGAACAGAAAATAATGTGATTTTACTAATTACGCATTTTGGTCAATTTTGCGCAAATTGGAAACGATAGCATCACTTCCGAAGTTAAACGTTGACAGTAATTGTTAATTAACAAAATTTTCGTCATCATGGTTTAATGTCTATGCATTTCTGGTTTCAGCCTTAGCCAAGATGCGAGAAGCATTTAACAAGAATGCAAGAAGAGGAGCCCCCAAAATAGGTACGGTGACCTTCAGACAAGGAGACTTGGATCTACCAAAAATGCCAGATATACGGACAAAGCATGCCCTTACCCTTATCCGATAGATGGCGGAACCTTAAGTCTAAAACTTAAATGTGTTATGTTCAAATCGTTTAAGTCGATACATTCAGAATGATCCATAAATATCTTTAGGAACGAAATCTTTGATGATGGATGGAAAAAAACATTTCCTTCATGTACCAAATCAATGTTTTGCAACTACAAACTTGCGCATAGCTCTTTCTGAATTGATCTCTTTCAACCATAAACAGACAATCGCATTCTCATATAACTATTAAATTACCTTAAATGTATTTATGTCCTCGATGGTACTGTTTACCCCTTTAGAATAATTTCATAATGTCTTCTTTTTCATTATGTGTATCGCTGAAGGATTTGTATGACTAATGAAAATGTTTGTTAACGATATTTTAGGTGTTCTTATAACTGACCAGACATCTACAAGTCCAGCCGAGACAAAACACCAGGTTGATAAGGCCAAAAAAGAAGGTGTCCAGTTTGTCACTCTTGGGATTGGAACAAAGGTCAATGTTGGCGAACTGGCAAACATTGCTACAGACTCTGGCAAGCTCTTCAGAGCGATGAATTTCAACCGTCTCGACAGCATGATGAATAGAGTTCGGGATAAGATATGCGAAGGTAATTAAAATTTCATTTGAAGAAATACCAAATTGGGAATAATTTTTACAGTTTTTTTTTTACAAATTGTGATGATTAACTCATATTAAGCTAATCTTAATTCCTGTGACTTCGTAGGGGTTGGATGGGCTATCGAGTTTTAATATATATCCTAAAAACAACCCGACCTCACTTAAAGCACCTTGAATAAAGGCCTTAAAACAATTCCTTTTAAAGAAAATAAACCGCGTCTTATGTTCACGATGTCATGTTGATTTTTTCCTGTGTTCGGTACTTTTCATTACTCACAATCGCCTTTATACTCCAAGTAAGAAATGCAAAACGAAGGGAAATATTTCTCCCTTGTGAAACATTTCCCTTCGTTTTGCAGTCGAAAGATACATGTAAACCCTATTCAGAAACCTTTAGTTATCCAATGGTATCAGTCTATTGCGATAATGAAATGTTACAGAATTGAGTTTTCACAAATGAAATGAAATTTTAGTCTAATAAGGCAACATTTACACTGTACTTTTCACATTCACGGACCCCGATAAGCCCGAGGGAGGATTTAAAAAATGGCAGAAACCTGAAATATTTCTTATAAAATAGTTCTCAACGAAATTGTGTTTACACTTACATTTGTATATCTATCAGTAGCATTAGTTTGGATAGTGGTATAATTCTAGTTACATCCCCTGAATAAGATATAATGATGAACGTGTTTTTGCAGCTGTGACTACGCCAGTGACAACACCGACTCCTCCTACAACCCCCACTCCAGCACCGGATTTCCCAAGTAAGTTATATCAACTTCAATCACTGAAGAAGACGTTATCAGGAGATAATCAGAATTAAATACCTTTTAATAGTATTCCTTTGTGTAAGAGCAACCGGGGTTGAAGCCTCGTGTTTGCGAACTTGACCATCTTTCCCCTCGGGTTGAAATTACACCAACAAGGGGCAAATGGTTGTTTTTTCTCTTACTATGATGGCTTTGTCAGGTTTTCTTATGTTATTTTGTTGTCCCTAAACGTCGCATCATTGACGTGACGTCATATAATTGCTCTGACAGGGGATTACCTCCGTTTCAATCCTAGGGTGAGACAAAGAAATGTCACACCGGTAAAACCGGTGGATTGACCTGTCCAGGGTACGAGTACGAGTTTTCCCATCCCTAGCTACCACGAGACACACTGTGAAGCACATGAGAACGATGATAGCTATAGAGGAGTGAACGTTATAGACAAACGATGTCAGGTTTGATGTTTCGGTATGATATATGACGTGAGCAATTATTGTTAGATATTTTATATTTTGTTTACAATCTATTGTAGCATTGTGTGCTGGGTGTCTCATGAATAGTGACTCCGGTTTCAACCCTTTCCCTGGTGACTGTACCAAATATGTCCAATGCTGGAGGGATAGTGGTCGGATTATGGGGTTGGTCAAGGACTGTCCATACGGTCAGTTTTGGGACACTGATGCCATCACTTGTCGGCCTTCCATGAATGTGATGTGTCCTCAAGGTAAAAATATTCTGATGTTACTACGATGTATCTAATAATTGATTAAACTTCAGAAATGAATGTTGTGTGGAATTGTAGTCGAAATTTAGATAATTTGATTACAGAATATTTTAGAAATAAAGAAAATTTGGGCACATTTTATAGTTACGCTGAAGTCGTTGACATGAACTGCTTATCAAGTCATTAAACTTTCCTCAATTTATCGTCCAATAATGAAAAGCAAATTCGATCAGTAGTATCTGTGTTTATTGTAGATCCTTGTATCAATGCCCCTGACGGATTCACCTATGGTATGGCGGGTCACGGTTGTCGCTCTCACTGGGTGTGCGTCAAGGGATATAGTGTGGCTTCTTGCTGTCCCGAAGGGACTTACTATCTTGAGGGAATGGGCTGTATGAGAGGCATGGCCTGTAAAACACCCTGTCCACCAGATGGCGGGCTCATCATATCTCGTAAGTAAATACTATGAATTCTTCCACATTCTTTTATTAAGAAAGGTAGAAAAACTAGGATAATTTGTTTCATTACACGACTGCAATTATGGGAGTCGCAATGTAGAATGATTTGGGGAGAGGATATCAGGGATGGTTAAGGGTCGGGTTGGAAGGTCACTGATCAGCCTGACCAACACCCAAAACAACACTACGCACGTATGTGTGACCGCCTACACTACTCCCACACAAACAATGACACTCACAGGTATGTCAGGTAGTCCGGTCTACACAAATATAAGATAAATAACAAGAAGGTGAGAAATAAAGAACGGAGGAGGAGATATTATTTTCTATAGGTTATATATCTTGGGATTACCAAGCTGCATAAATTGGAAAGCATACTTACTTTCTAATCATATATTACTAAAACTTAATATTATGAAATGAGCTATCATAAAAAAAGATATTTTGATATTCCACTACAGCTATTTTGTCATATAAAGCATTGATGTCTTGCTATGTTAGTACTAGTAATGTGTATATGTACAACGTCATTTCTTTACAATGCTATTTAAACACATAATTTATTTTTAGCTAACTGTGAAAAAGAGGTCCATTGGGACGGCCGTTATTACCTGGAAACTATTCCTGGGAAAGGAAAGTTAGTGCGAAGGTGTGCTCCTGGAACCATATTTGACAAAGGCTACTGTACATGTGTAATCGCTACCTCCAACTACGTTCCAGTTACTCCTACCGGTATATATGCTTATGACATTTTCCTCCTTTTTCTCTTCGCCAGTTTGGTTAATAATATCAACGTGTATAATTTAAAAGAAACCGATGCTATCAGACCGTCAAACTATTCCAAACATTTAAATGTGTATTGTTCTGTGTAGAAAATTAGGATGAAATCGTTGATTGTTAAGATTTCTTCAGTTAAAACCTTTAAAGTAAACAGACATGAAAAATATGATTGAGACACTATAGTAAGTTCCAAACGCTAACGTTTAACACAGCTTTTAATTTGAACTTTAATTGGAACCTCTGGTGTTAGTGATTGTTATATCATCGAATCTTCTTGAGAAAAGAATATGTCACTGAACTAATGTGATATCAACAGACATATGATTCCTTCTTGCTATAAAGTTATGACGCCAATTATTGTGATTAAACTTCACTTTATGATTTCTGTTTGTCCTTAAGTACTTGAATATCACATATCGAAAAGTCGTATAACAAATAGATAATATGAATAATTAATAATCTTAAAAGAGATTTTATAAGTTGTATCAACTTCATACAGTAAGAATGTTTTGTTGTATTTTATTGTCCATTCACATGATGAATTATAAAAACAGCTATTACACATCGTATCTTTACAAGAAGTTTCACTTCACATCGTTTCATTTCATCACAAATGGTGTGGGGTCTTTGCCTTTCGCATTTTATTCCATATGTATATTTAAAAAAAAACATTATATAAAATGACTAAATATCTAAAATGTTAATGTTGATAATATATCATAGCGAGCACTCTCAAGGGAAAAAGCTTCTTGGTAAAATTACTATAATCAATTATACAGGTTTTCCTCTTTTACAATACAATAAAATAGATGCACCGGTCACACTCAAAATTATCAGTGTCCGGTGAAATATATCAGAATAACCTAAAACAAAAATTCGAATAGTGCTTTCATTCCTGAAACTTCGTGATGCTTAATAAATTGTTTGTTTTAAGTAATTCTAATATATATATACAACTTAAGTATACTAAGAGCTTAATTATTGATTTTTTTGGTGAGGATGTATTTTCTTTGACTTCGTGGATACCATAAATGCACGAATCCATGTCAAGAACTGTTGAATTTAACAACCTATAATGAACTTTATCGATCTACGATAGATTGCTCAAAATCACTAATATTAAAGAAATATGCAATTTTACAGTCAGCGCCGGAATTGACAAGATTATGTATTTATAAATATTATGTTTAATTAAGAATTGAATCATATGTTTTAAAAGTTAACAGAATTCAGCTGAAGGAGATATCAATCTGACTCTTAGGTTTATCAATATGAAACTCTTATTAAACGTCAGAGGACTTACAATGTTATTTATGTTTTCTTGTTTCTTTCTTGCAGACAAATGTTTACAATCCGTACACTTGAACTTCGACGTGAACATGCTAGATAAATCTGGCAAACAGACACAAATCAATACTGTTGGTGTACGTAAGACGAAATTCGGCACTGCCCACTTCGACGGGGCATCATTTATCAATCTCTGGAACTTGGGAAACATCGATTTCACTGACAAATTTGCCCTTAAGTTCAAGTTTAAATTCGACCGATGGGAGAACCGCTTTGATATGGGTGGATATCCAGTTGATGCCGGGTGGAAAGGAGACTTTTTATGGAAATGGGACAGCCAAATGGGATGGAACAGAAATTTCACTGTCGGTGGGAGTTGGAATGTTGTTAATTTGATGAACATGTTCAAACGAATGTTTGCTGCTACTTCCGAGAACGAGATGGAAATGATGATGGTTCAGATCGCCGAATCCGCGGACTTTCAGATCCTTCTGTATCATCTTGGATTTATGCCACAGTCAACAAATGCTATTCAGATCTTAAGGCAGTTAATGTCTGGAAATGGGGCCATTTTTGTTCAGCAAATACTACGACAAATAGGAAATATGAAAGGAGGCATGGAAATCCGCCGCTTGCTGTTACAGTTACTGAGGGTGAGAGAAGTAGATGACTGGATGAAGAGTCATAGTGGTGCTCATGGCGACATTACAATGCAAATCTGGAAGAAATTTTTATTGTCTCTGAATCTCACTGACTCCCAATGGGACATTAGCGGAGGATGGAACAACGGAATGGATGACCGCACTTTTGATATAATAGCAGATTTGTGGTTACAATTTGTCAGAGATTTCAGAATGACAGGCCCAGAATGGGACGGTAAACTGAAATGGGCCCTAGGTAAGGACCGGCAGAAGGGATCTTTAGATAAACGTTGGATTTTTGACATTTTGTTCGCAACAAAAAACACCACTGTCAAAGATTTATGGCTGGACTACTTAACTAAAAGAAATTATAGCATCGACTGGATCAGTACCAAATGGCAGATTGGCGGAGGGTCAGGTGGATCTGGTGGTATCGGGGGTGGAATAGGAGGCGGAATTGGAGGCGGAATAGGAGGCGGAATTGGAGGCGGAATAGGAGGTGGAATAGGAGGCGGAATTGGAGGTAGCGGCGGCATGGATCAGAGTCATTGGAACGCCTGGTTAAGCTGGCTTACGGTCACTTACGGAAGTGGAGCAGGCATGGGTGCAGGTCAGGGAGGTCAAGGATGGGGACAAGGAGGCAGTCATGGATGGGGACAAGGAGGACAAGGAGGCGGTCAAGGATGGGGACAAGGAGGAGGACAAGGAGGCGGTCAAGGATGGGGACAAGGAGGAGGACAAGGAGGCGGTCAAGGATGGGGACAAGGAGGTGGTCAAGGAGGCGGTCAAGGATGGGGACAAGGAGGCGGTCAATGGTGGGATCAAGAATGGGGAAATGAATGGGGACAAGGAGGTGGTCAAGGAGGACAAGGTGGCGGACAAGGAGTAGGTCAAGGATGGGGACAAGGAGGCAGTCAAGGATGGGGACAAGGAGGACAAGGAGGCGGTCAAGGATGGGGACAAGGAGGTGGTCAAGGATGGGGACAAGGAGGAGGACAAGGAGGCGGTCAAGGATGGGGACAAGGAGGACAAGGAGGCGGTCAAGGAGGAGGACAAGGAGGAGGACAAGGAGGCGGTCAAGGATGGGGACAAGGAGGCGGTCAAGGAGGAGGACAAGGAGGCGGTCAAGGATGGGGCAAGGGAAGCTTCACCTTTGATAGTTTCTTCCATTGGTTACTAGGGAGCGGTTCTTTCGGGGCCGACTTTTCATTTGTAGGAGGATCTGGTACAAGTACAGGAGGTCAAGGACAAGGCAACAACAATGGTCTTATCATCGCTGACGATACAGGCTTTAATATCGGATTCGGACAAGGTAATGGTCGAGCTTTGGCACGTTTGGATGTTACGTATTGGCGAGTGTTGGGAGAGAGAGATTTGACTGATCCTTATTGAAGAGCTTGTAAATTGGGAAATAGATAGGAAATGAGTGCACAAGGGGGCCTCAGAAGAGTGCAGCCGGTTAGTTGGGCAAAGTGAAAATTTGGTGAATGATGTAATTTCTGAACTTGGGGGTTGGAGGGGGAGGTGTTGCAAATATCAATATACAAAGGCGAGAAACTTCAAAACAGACCTAAGGGGTTTCTAGACGAATAGCGTCAATGCATGACCGGAAAATATTCCTGATGGTGTCATGACTGCGCACGGGGCAATGTGATTGAAAAGGACGGGTGTAAATGGACAAGTTGTTGTTGACGAATTTGGTCATGAAAATAGTTAAAGTCAAATACAGGTAGGAACTGCAGGGCAGTTCTGACGTTCAGGGACATATTGGCAACTGCAGTGCAATGAGGTGTTGGAAGGTATCATAATGTAGATGGAATGTGAATTAAAGATTTGGCAATTCTTTATGATGGATATAAGAAACAATTTGGAGGGACTGGAATCGTACATAACAAAACTAGCCCTGCCCTCGTGTACGAGAGCATCCTTTTTCTTCCGAAGGGAAAACGTTGGGTGAATTCTTGAAGCGGACGAAGCTGGTAATGGGTTCGATTGGTCGTCCAGGTAACCTATAGTTCATGTGGTTCTGTCTGCTTTTTGTGTCTTGTTCTGTTTTTTATGTCTGTTGCTGGTATATCACTCGCTCTCCTTGCGGGTATATCTGTTCTGGTTTGTTGGTCATCTTTCTACTCATCACTGTGTACAGTACAATTAGTCGTTTTTAATTATAGGAGGATATGGTACAAGTAAAGGAGGTCAAGGTCAAGGTCAAGGCAACAACAATGGTCATTTCATCGTTGATGACACAGGCTTCAACACTGGATTTGGACAAGGTAATGGTGGAGCTGGGTCACACGATGATTGGATGTTGCGTGTTGACGGTGGTTCTCAAAATGGTGGGAGTGGTGGGTTTTTCGGAACTAATGACTATTGGAACAGCGGAACCGGAAAGGACTCTTGGTTCTTTGGCGGAAGCGCAAGCGGAAATGGAAATGTTGACTCACAAGGAGGTACTAAGAGCGGCATTTGGGGTGGCGCTGGCGGTAGTGCAGGCTCATGGGGCGGCAATGTAGGACAAGACGGTTCCTCTAACGGTTGGCAAGGACAAGGACAATTTGGTTCACAAGGTGGTTTTGGTAGTGGGTCACAATGGGGCGTAGATTTTGGCAAACAAAATCAGGGCGGTTTCCAAGGTGGGTTTAATGGAGCTGCAAATGGACAAGGTGTTTTCGGTGAACAGTGGAAAGATACTTCTAAGACTGGATTTGATGTTTGGGGTAATGGACATGGCCAAGGTGGGCTCAATGGTGCTACGTTCGGAATGGATAATGGCGCTACAGGAAATGTTGGACAAGGTCAAATAAGGACTGGAACTGGAGAACAATGGGGAATAACGGCCGGCAGACAAGGTGGAAAAGGATTTGGTGGACAAGGAGGTTCTCAAGGAGGTACGGGTGGTGTCGCGAATGGTGGTGGTGAACAAGTGGGAAAGGATGGTTTAGGTGTATATGGCCAAGTTAACAATGAGGCTTGGTCTAAAGGAAACAACAATGGTAAATGGGACATGCAAAGGGTTTCGAGTGGACAATGGGATACGAAGGGTAGGGAGGTGAAAGAAGGTGGGTTTTGGTCCACTTCCTCAGGTGGCAATGGCATCAGTGAAACTAGAGGTATGGCTGAAGGGGGTGCTTGGCAAAAGGGTTTTGGAAAAGACAATTCTGGAAATTTAGGCGGAGGCGCTGCTACACAAAATGTCTTCGGTCAAGGTGGAGGGGGAATGACTGAAGGGAGTTCTTGGCAAAACAGTTTTGGACAAAGCGGTATTGGAGGTTTAGCTGGAGGTATTGCTTCACAAAATGTTTTCGGACAAGGTGCTGGAGGTTTAACAGAAGGGGGTGTTTGGCAAAATATCAATGAACAAGGTGGTGCTGGAGGTTTTGCCGGAACTACCGCTACACAAAAGGATTTAGGACAAGGTGCTATAGGTTCTAGCGGAGGTATCGCTGCCCAAAATGTCTTCGGACAAAATAGTGCTGTAGGGTCAGTAGGAGGTGTTGTTGCACAAGATGTCTTCGGACAAGGTGCTGGAGGTTTGGCCGAAGGAGGTGCTTGGCAGAATATCTTTAGACAAGATGGCACTGTAGGGTCTGCCACAGGTACAGCTACACAAAACGTCTTAGGACAAGGTGCTGGAGGTTTGGCCGAAGGAGGTGCTTGGCAGAATATCTTTAGACAAGATGGTACTGTAGGGTCTTCCGCAGGTACTGCTACACAAAACGTCTTCGGACAAGGTGCTGGAGGTTTGGCCGAAGGAGGTGCTTGGCAGAATATCTTTAGACAAGATGGTACTGTAGGGTCTTCCGCAGGTACTGCTACACAAAACGTCTTCGGACAAGGTGCTGGAGGTTTAGGTTTTGGTGAAACTGCTCGTCAGATAAACTATCAACAAAGCGATGTCGGAGGAATCGATGCCAGATTTGGGGCAAATATAGGATATGTTGATGAGAAAGTAGGGTCGGGTAATAACCCATCGCAAGTTGATGCGAATCGTAGTAATATCGATGGCAGTTGGAACGTGCAAGGAATAAGTGCCAAAGATACCAATAGAAAACAAGGTAGGGATAGTATATCAGCACTTAGAGCGAATAGCAAGCAAGGCAGCGCGCACAGCAGCGGTGGTAGTGGCGGAAGCATGTCGGTTGCTTTAGGGGTCAGTGGAAATGGCAGAAATTATCGAAATACTCAGTCAGAGATTAAGAATATTAAGCGTTACTGGTGTCAGTGAAAACATGACAGAAATATACGATCTCATCCATGGACATCAGAAAAAGGATAATTCTAAAACTGGAAGTATTGGTGTACATGGGTTACTGGGTGGTGATTTTCTAGGCTTTAATACTGGGAATAGCATAAGTTGAAGGGTCGATAGAATTCCAGAGGGAGGTTTAACTGATGGTGAAATGGGTCATCAAAATCGTAGACAATGGATTGTTGATTACTCGGTCAATCTTAGAAATGGACAATTGAACTTTAATGAAGAGCTTGTAAATTTAAGAATTAGAGAGGAAATAAATGCACAAGGGGGTCATCAGGTGAGTAAAGCCGGCATAAAGGGACAAACCGGAAATTTGATGAATGATATAGTATCTAAACTCGGGGGTTGGAGAGAAAATGTTGCGAATGATAAACCTAGCGGGTTCTAGGATGAGTAGCGTAAAAATGGACGACCGGAAAATATTCCTCATAGTGTCATGAGTGAACAAGGGGCTACGTGATTGAATGGGGCTGGTGTAAATGGACAAGGCTTTGGCAATGGCAATAGTGCAAGTGAAATACAGGTCGGAACTTAAGGGATAAGACAGGGCAGCTTTGACGTTCAGGACACATTGGCAATTGTAGTAAAAAAACCAGGAGGTGTTGGAAGGTATCACAATGCAAAAGTAATGTCAAGTAAAGATTTGACAGTTCGTTATGAGATATATAAGAAACAATTTGGAGGGACTGGAATCGTACACAACAAAATAAGTTCTCGAGTACAAGAGCATCCCTCTTCTTCTAAAGGCAAAATTTTGGGTGAATTCTTGAAATTGAAAAAGCTGGGCACGAATTCGATTGGTCGTCCAGGTAACCTATAGTTCGTGTGGTTTTGTCTGCTTTTTGTGACTGGTTCTGTTTTTTGTGTGTCTGTTGCTGGTATATCACTCGTTCACCTAGCGGATGTATCTGTCCTGGTATGTGGGCTATCTGTCAGTCCTTTCGTATTTTCCTTTGGCGCTTTCATCTGCAGCGGTCTCACAGCAGCGCGCGCGCTCGTGTTAATCACGAAATGTATACCATGCATGCAATATGATAGGAAGCATTTAGTTTGTTGCGAATGGTTTTGAATAAAATTCTCGACTTCATTTTATTAAAATTTAATATCACTAATGTTTCACCAAACAAAAATCTTATAATTTTGAAAGACTAAAAAAAGCAACAAGCTAAATGCTATTATCCAATAGTCCTTGTTATCATTTGTGATATTACTAATATAAAACAGTGCATTGTCTTTGGATGGTATCTGGGACTGCAGGATTATGCAAACAAATATTTTTTTGGTATTACCGTAACAGGCAACTAAATATTAAAGAGGAATCGACATAATATTTTGATGCCTACTTTACGAAAAAAAAGGATATTTTGATAATACACAAAGTTTCAATATGCATACTGCGAATATCCGATACCGGTATGTTTCAATGAGACTTGGTTGCATTTTCCTGCGTCTATCATAACCACGAGATGTAGCGCATGTTTATGATGTTATTTAAACCTCTTGAATATGAATTCCAACTTGTTCACTACCTTAGAATTATCGAAGTGACGTTGGGTTTTTTTCAGGTAATATGTCCAAAATTCAGCGTATGTTCGATAGCAACAAAATCAAGAGAACATGTTAGAACTAACGGTATCAATATAATATTACAGAAAGTAAAACTATTATTGCTAATTCGTTTTTGGGGTTCCCAGGCATTTGGGGTTTTGACCAGGGTGTCTCTGGATTTGGTGGTTCCTTCGGTCTCGGTGGTGCCGGAAACAGTGGAGAAGTGGAAGTTGGAGACATCAATTCAATCTTGAACAACTTAGGCGGAGCAGTCGGATCACAGAGTGATTCCTCTTCTTCTTCCTCTTCTCAAGAGAGTGGGGAAATGCAAATTGGTAATTCTCAAAAAATCTCTTAGTAGATCTGTTCAGATAATACGAAACAGTTTCATTGTCTTTTAATACATTATAACGTAAGCAGCATATAGCAGTAGCAGGTATGTCATTGTGTTTTATATACTATATGTAACCGTAGAAGGTTGAAGGCTTCATATCAATCATAAATGTCATAGAATGCAGTGTAATCTATTGTAGAGTAGAAAACAAACTAACTTCACTTCAGGATCCACTAACATCAATTAGAATGCTACGCTTCAGAGCTTTGTCTGTTTTTAATTATCTGAAAATACGATACATTTTATTTGCTCATATTAAACTAATCTTTACATCTTAATTGGAGCAGTATTATAATGTAATCAATATAATATCACCAAGATGCTAATTCTCTCTGCAAACTAATTTGGATCGTTACGAAATGATTGGAATTTTGTGCTTAATACAAATATACTTCATCAAAAAGTTTATGTCAATAATATCTTTCAATAACCTGATTGTAAACGGTAAAATGAAAGGAAATTTTAGTTAGTGACCATTGATAGAACAATATAATGAAAACAAAGACATATCATTATTGTTGTGAAAATAATGTCTTTGCTTCAAATAGTTTCTTTGATATTTTAGCTTAAATAAACAACCTTTTTTTGATTGGCTTAATACTGTTTCCATTCTGTAACTTATAAATGTCGAACGAGTCTGCTAAGAATGGTAAATTTGTTTTTGATTAATAATTGCATGATAAACTGTTGATTACGTTTCATAACTTAAAATAAGATACAATAGAGTCAAGTAATGAATTAAACTGCATCACGCAGCTGTTTCGTCCTTCTGGGACTTCAGTGATGTTAAGAGCCTAAAATGTGAAGCTTAGGAGGCGACTAAGAAAAAGTCAAAGTGATCAAAAGAAAAGTCAAAATCTAGACGGGGAGGTGCAGCAGTCCCATAATTATACAAATTTCGTAATTTTCATACATCAGATTTTTTAAATCTAATTTTAGCCTCAAAGTAAGTAGAAAATCTGCTATTTTCAGTATAGATTATTTAATGAATCTAAGTTGTGGTGCCACAGTTCCGGAGTACTATAAACAATTCGTTAGTCACGAAGCCATCCATGTAGAAATTGTTTATCACGAAGCCAATCATGAGAAAAGCGTATCCTTTTTTCTTTCTTTTTTTTAAAAATAAGTCTTTAATTCAAAACTATTTCATTCTTATCCGTAACGAATCTTCAAAATACTCACGTTTTTTACAATGCTGTTCCAATAGGAGGAGGAAGCTCAGCTGGCGGAAGTTCAACTGGAGGTGGCAGTTCATCTGGTGGCAGTTCAACTGGAGGTGGATTTTCATCAGGTGGCAGTTCAACTGGAGGTTGGGGTTCCACTGGAGGTGGAAGTTCAGTCTCATCAAGTAAACAGTCTTCGTCGCAAAGTTCCTCACAAGAAAGTGCTCAAACAAGTCAAGCTGGTGGAAATCAATGGACTTATGGCCATAACCGTCTGCAATTTCCATTCGAGTTTGATGGACTGGATTTCCCCGATGTTTTCAGAAGAAAACGGGCTGCCCCTAACAGCGACATTTTCCAATATCAGACTCTGCTTACTAACTGCCAATCTAATGGTCAAGGCGCTTCAGTCGAAATTAAGGCTAACGAGAGAACTATCAATTTCGGCATGATGACTGAGGGCAGAAACACGATGAAGAAAATGAAATTTAACATTGTAAGTACATAAGTGTGTTCAATACATTAATCAGATAAGTGGATTGGAGGCCCGTGTAAAAAGCAAGATAATGGATATCAACAGGAGTTCAATTCAAATTAGTTGCATGCGAGACTATGGAAATATGTTGGTGAAATTTCGTTCCGATAGCTTGCTTCTGAAATATGTTTGAAAATCTCTGATTTTGTGATGTTATTCATTACATGCATGCGGATATATCAAAGTTACGCATCTGTATAAGAAATCAAACCTAAAAATAAGATGTTGGAGAGACAGAGAATCTGTGAAGATTAACAAAAAATTATAATTACTACATAGATAATTTAATATCCTGATTGTAAACGGTAAAATGAAAGGAACTTTTAGTTAGTGATGTAAAGTTCAAGGTAATGAAAACAAAAACATGACGTTATTGTTGTGAAAATAAATATTAGTATAATGCATTCAATTAATGACTATATTTTGCATTACTTCTAATGTTATTGAAGGATATTAACTTGTCTTTCGGTACAGGTTCCTGGATGGAACGAAGTCACGATGACTTATGATGGCAAAAAACTTATGGGTAAGATCCAGAACTGGCGAGGAGTCCAGGAAAAGAGCGTTCCTCTATCAGGTATTTACACACATAACTTCATTGAGTTAGCACGATCTAGTGAATTGGAAGAAAAGGAATATATTGCTTTATTCGATTTTTACTGCTATGACTTTACAAAAGACACACAAGTGATTAGCGCCTGTTAATACAGATTTAGATAAGAACAGCTGAGCCAAAGAATGAACTGAACTATATCATACAGCTGTTGTTTTCCTTCTAAGACTCGTCAGTGATGTTAAGGACCTAAATATTACTTGATGCTATCAACTTTTAAACTTTTTGTAACTATGTTTAAATCAATTTTGTAGATTTGTTAAGGATACGGTAATATCTATAATGGATTGAAATTAAAAACTGAAAAGCAAGTGGCACACAAGTATCACAAATAAGAAAAAAAATGTCTCGAAATTTATCTCTGAAGCTAATCGTTGACATTCTCCGCCTTCCAACGTAGGGGCAGCTTGATAGTGTTTAACGATTCTTCACATTCTAGATTTGATATGACTGTGTACTTTATAAAATGAAACGAAAGAGATTAATCGATTCAATAACACTCAACTGTCTTCAGGCTGAAATAGACGCTTGATTTCTTGTCTCATTTCGTTTTCAGGTTTTCCTATTTTAACTTCATCTGAAATTAATTTAGAAATAGACTGCTCGAAAATAAGCACTCTTTAAACAATTAATTTATGTTCTATAATAATGTTTAAAATGAATTTTCAGGAAACATCCAGAAACGGCAAGGGTTCAAGATCGGTGGTGCATGTGGTGCTGCTGCAAGCTTCAAAGGACAGATGGACGATGTAAGCATTCATAAAATCAACCTGTACAAACTCAGCTCGTTAGTCAAATATCGGTGGATGTGTTTTTATACAAGAAAGATTTTTGTTTTTTGGCGAATGAGTTCAGATGTGAGAGTTTTCCCTATAAAAATCATAGTTGTATTGTTCATCACCTGCTTAAAACTGTTAAATGTAGGTAGGTTGTATTATACAGGAGAGAATTATCAGTTTAATAGAAAATAAGAGTTATCCATCTGATATTAAGAAAACCCTTCATTAACGACTAAGACGACTTTGTAACTACTAAAATGAGATAAAATCGGCGATGTTTAATTTGCTTCATCACAATTAGAATGATTATTAATAAGACTCTAATTTCAGAATTGTGATTTATGAATGACAATTTGCAACAAAAACCTAAAATATTTTATCACATCGTTAGCCTGTTGGTTCATGTTATACAATCATGTCATATATCTCGCGAGACAACTTACAATATCACTATTGTGACGTCAAATGATGACGTCATACGATTGTTACGGTAATTAAAAACTTCTAAATCGAAATAAGCCCGTCTTTGTACGGATGAATTAATTTGAGAGCTTCGGCTCTTTTTAAGAAATATGAGTTGAATAATTTTTTCTGTCGATGTAGTAGGGACATTATTAAACTCTTTCAATTTTTTTATATATCACCTGACTTCAGGCTAATTACATATCAAATTATTTAACTCGTTTAATATTACATCGACACTCACGTAAAATTGTTTACAGTGATTCAGAATAATAAGAATATACTGTATCTTTGTTTTAGATTCTACTATACAACTGTCTCCCGTCGAAATTCAAGCAAGGACCACGTGGGAAGCAGTGATGATTAGTAACCCGGATGTAGTAATGCTCTTTTTATTTGTGATATGAATGCCATGACAACGGGATGAATCCAGAAGGATGTGCAACAGAAATCTACAAAGAGGAAATGTTGAATAAACATCGACTTTCGTCTCTTTAGGAGATAAGAACTTTATTAATGTGTGTTTTCTGTGTTTAATGTTCATTTACTATGTACAATGACAGATATGTTAAGGAGAAGACAACTACTATTACGCATCTCATCAATGTAATTAGTTATTGACATATAACCATATTGTATACACGCTCGTTCGTATAACAGTACTGATAAACTTAGATGATGTATATTACTTATGTCAAAAACTACGACACAAATACAGAATTCCGAAAAAATGAACTGGTATACGGTTTATTTACATAGATTCTTAAATTATGTATTAATTTTTATTATTTAACAATGTGAAACACAGACCTTGACCAGTGCTTGACAAAATCTGTCTTACCGTATTGTATAGGTATTTGAGCTGTATCATATTGTTTTCTGAAACTGGTAATATAATAACATATTTAGACAAATTATACATGTGGTGGCTGCTCTTCTAAACACGTATTTAATTTAGTTTTCTTTTAAAATAAATTCACCAAGACGGAATCACAAATGCTATACAGTCTACACTATTAGTATTACTACAGTATTAAGAAAGAGAGTTTTTATATTCGTGGTTTCCTCTTCTCTTGTGCGCACGCGAAAAAAACCTATATGTATGTGTCACATATTACATGCTTTTAAAGTCAGACCTAAAATCGACCTATCACCCTGATATTTACGTAGAATATTTCTATCTGGCATTTATGTCCATGTTTGAGTGTACCAAATACAGTAAGTATACCACAGAGCGCCACCACTGTTTCTCCTATATCTATAATCCTGGTACTTAGTATAGATATTTGCACGTCTTTAATGAGGATAATCATTAAAATTCAAACCCGAGAGGTCAAGGTTATTTGATTATAGCTATTATATTTCAGATATTATGACTTATTGCCTTATTAAGCTCTGGTTCATTATGTTATTCTTCAAATACATATAACACCCGTTAAGGTGTAATGTTTTGTTACCATGGCAGCGTTATATCACTCTGACGAAAAGTTGAATATACATTGATAGTAATCATAACGTTGGATACTGTTTAAATCTAAACCACCTGCCTTGTGGTAAATATTCTTAAAAGGTTTTCTTAATTATAGAAATTGTTTTTGTCTTTTTAAATACGTAAACAACGTTGAGTTTGTGTTTGATAATGTCATTATTATGTGTTGTTTGGACGTTTCAATAAATTACAAAACTGTTGCATTTACACAATGTGTTGACTTCATTGTCAAGAAATCTACCATATCATCTATGTTTTAGAGCAAAAAAAAAATAATAAATAAATAAATAAATACCGACATGTGAACAAAATCATAATCCAAAATTAAATTTAATTAAACTTTGGCAAATTATTCGTGCAGAAGGACGACTCGTGAAAAAGTATAAAGAGCGACAAAGAGAATAAGACCAGGTATTCCGGCAGAGTAAACATCTTCTGCTTCATCGAAGACACACGCCATGTAAACTTTGGTCAATTCTTGTAAGCAAAGCTACGTTCCCAAATGAGAAAAAAGTAAACAACAACAGAATCACACAAACAAAGCATTGGATGTTAAAAAAGTTAACATGAAATGAATTGTAAATGAAAATACACAATGTATGTCAATGACTCTACACGGCATTTTATCTTTATGAAATCCACGTCAGTAGTGCATGAAAGGGTTGTGGGCGTGTCTTTGCCTCAAAAGGAGACCTCAAATATTATGACGTAGTTGGTTATTGTAAACAAAAATACCTTTTTATAAGTTCGTTTGTTGTATCGAACTTCAGTAGAATTTTAGATAGCATAGTACCGTGTATGCAATTGACTATACATCACGTTTTTGACTTCTTGAAATCCATATCAGAAGTATGAGATGGGGTGGGCGTGTCTTTGCCTTTTAAGGATACTTTTAAACGTCACTAGGGTTATTAGAACTAAATAAAACTAATCAAAAATGTTTAAGAATGAAAGTTTTAAACCTGTGGGTAATTGGAACCTGGTGAAATTGATCTTATTTATTTGTTTACTTTTTATAACAGTTTTATCGTCGGAACGCAGTAACATGCCGTATTTTTTTCATATTATGTGACTAGCCGGTAATTATTGTCCAATTTCAGGACGATGTTTAGTAACGATTATATCTCATTTGTAAAAATTGTGAAACGTATCTGAAGGTGTTACACGGAATATCTGTATTTTCAATTAATATTCACGGGAAAATAGTAAAGAAGAAATCACATTGTTTCCCTATTAACATATCAGACTTTCGTTATTTGTGTTATTAAGGATATTGTGTAGTATATGACGCGTGGCACAGGGTTTGATAATACAAAAATAATTAGATTTTTCGTGGTATTAGCATAATCAAGGTGTATTTCAGAGAAACAACTAGACGTATCACACACAACCAATTAACTTCACTGGCACAGATATATTACAATATATGGTGTGAGTCAGTTTTTTTTATTAATTTATCTATTTTTTTTTTAATGTTGGGGATACCCCTACAGTCCAGGTCTCAACATCACTGAATAAGAAATGTGCAATCAAAAGTAGACCAATAGATTTTCAAAATTTTCTATTACCTTGGATACTAGTAAAACCAAACCAGTGAAAAGACCCTTTATAATTAGCTGTTTGGGAATTTGCCCATAATTATTTATTTATGGTAAGATTACACAATAATTTGGAGATATGTTTCTCTTTTTTTTTATTTCTTCACGTATAAACTTTAAGCAGCCATAGTAGTGAATAGTTTTACCATCATGACCCTCAATGCAAATAATCAGCAGGCAAAAGTTTGTTTTATTGTACTGTTACCTTCGTAACCTAAACCTTTAGATTGTTGGTTTAAACAATATTTTATTTTCAGATTTTCATTTACAACATACACGTACACAAATTATAAAATTGAAAATGGATCTGGCAACAAGATTATAAATCTTATATTAAGCAATCTCCAGATAGATTGTTGCCATAGGTTACTTTTGTTCCTTTCAAATTTGTTTCCAAATTAATAAATGTTGGCCTTTGTAATTTCTTTTTGTCTTTTATTTTTAGGGTAGAGAATTTTCTGTAATCCACTGAATTTTCGTTTAATTTAGAATTTGAAAAAAAAAGGAATTTTGACCCTTTCAGAAATCAGAAATCAAGAATACCAGAAATGATCTATGACTCAGTACACGGCCTGATTTCTCTTTCGGTACCACAAAGTCTACAACCTTCAGAGAATATTCTATAAAATGTCAGGCAGTGTTCGTACCATGGGTAAAGAAACAAGTCAGTGCCGTAAGAAGTTTTTTTAATCTGAACTTTTTAAAACGGGATAACTTTCTTCTTTTTACTAAATGAAAAATACACCCAGAGAATGTTATTGAATTAATTTTACAAAATCCATTTGTTGTGGTCACATTAGAAAATTCCGGAAAATCCTCCCTTTTCACCGTCTGGTTCATTCGGATGGTGGAGGAAGCAGGGGTGGGAATGTATAATATTTAAAGGGACATTAATACCATAACCTGAGTTATCGTTCTTTGTATAAAATGTTTTCTTCAAGCGTATGTACGACCTAGACGTAGTTTCCACTTTGTTTACAACATGGCGGACAAAAAGAAGCCTAACTCTGCAGACGATCGTGTTGTACAAGAAACAGACAGACAGTTTCTGGGTAACGAAGAGATTTTTGTTTCAGTCGTATCACAATTGCATACATGTCCAACGACAATCACCGAAAAAAATTAAACGTACTCGGATTGCATTATCGTAGCTAGTCTGAAGTAAATGACATGAATTTTAAAAAATTTCAGTACCAAGTATTTTCTGTACTTACAAAAGTCGTTTCGGTATCTGTAAAATGGTTAACACAGCTAGACTGTCATTTTGAGTGAACAGTTTTTTTCAGAAACAAAATAAGCAATGTCTGTTAATGACGGAACATCTTGAAAAAACTTATTAAATGCATTGACTTATTTAGAAGTACCGAAACATCCTGATACCGAAACGATTTGCCACGAAAGACATTTCCTGATCTACATTTGTACTTGCTCTGAGTCCCACCATTGTAATTAAGTTATGGAAATGACAATATGTCACAGACTGAAGTAAATAAAGGCATAGTAAACAATCAATCGCTAATAAGGTAGAGCATGACATTAACTGAGGAGAATATGTATTGTGAGACTACATTATATAGAATATGGGCAAGCAGTGCTCGGAGAGAGCAAAACTTATGCGAAATGGTACTGTAGTGTACTGATGAAAGTATAGGTTGGTGTTACATGCCTCGTACTTGGCAAGATAAAGAGATTTTAGCTCAAGCCAAATTCATTTGAGTACATTCATCTTTCTTTTCAGTAAAAATAAAATGTAAGCCAAGCGAATTAAGGAAGCAGAAATGTTGTCATAGTTTATTTTATTAACATTATTTCTGGTAATGAAGAGTACCTATGCTCCATGCCTTTTTGCTTCCAGAAATTTATTACAGCAAGTCCTGTTGTTTAGACCGAATATCTGGCCCATGTTAATGGTGTAGTGTATCACTCTAATGACTACATAAGTATAATACATACATCAGACGTATACAACAACAATATCAGATGTGAACTGTTAGGGGATTGTGACACCATCTACTGAAACAATTTCCACATATATGTATATATAGGCTGACCAGCTACAAAAATGTAGGCTGATTTCTGGCAAATGTTACAATTTTTAAAGAATTTCAGTTATTATTGTTTTATACAGAGAGAACAAGCACAGGGACCCTGATCAGAGATGTTTTGGAGAAAGTTATCAGCAACCGACCAGAAGATCCAATAGCCTTCCTAGCAGATTAGTAAGTTATGCAAAATTGATTGTTGTTTAGGAACTTGGTCTGGGATACAAAATGTATCTCATTTCACAGGGCATTGGCCTATAAATAACCTCAGGTGAAGGTGTGATGTGTCCAGTTTGATGCTCCCTACCCGAGGATTTTTTAATTTAATAAAAAGATTTTCATCTAAATTTGTAGCAGCCTGTATGTATATTATATTTTCATGAAAATTTCAAAGACAACAAACAAATTAACTTAATACTTTTTATGCCCAAGAAATCATCCTATTATCCACTAAAAAACAGTAAGTCGCTGAGGTATTTTGTGTTCAATTCAACATTTTGTTAAATTTTCTTCATAGTATGCATAGAATTTCTATGCCATGGAGAGTTTTGGTTTGTTGTTGTAGATCCGTAAATACATACCATATCTGTTGTTTCAATTAATTTTATCAGTGATTGATTGTTACCTTAAGTTAATTCAGGTGAAAACTATTTTCTAGAAAAACATATGCAAAAAACACAATTTATAAACATAATTTACTACTCAATATTTGATAAGAAAAAGTGTTTTGTTTTTCATTTTATAGCAGTCCCCATTTAGTAAACTGAATGCCAACACCTGTCAGATCTGGAAATAATATATTTTGAGGAAAGGGAAGCAATCCAATTTTTGTTTTTTTGACAACAATAATTTCATGACTGACTTTTTAAGAACTTAAGAAATGGTGACAAATTGCTCCCTTTAGGAAACCATAGAAGTAGATGATGAATCATTTACTTGTGGTGAAAACTTTTAGAGGGCAAATATCTAATCCTATAATTTTTATGCCCAACAATACTAAGTATTAATTGGTATTAAAATATAAGCCTTTGCTTTGTAAATATCCACATTTATAGCACTTCTTAGTAGAAATGTAGCCAAATTCTGCATCATTGCCAGGAGATTAGTCACCCTACCTACTTTAAGTCATTTGTGATGTTTTGGCCCACATGACTTATTGAATGAAAAAAATTGTACCATACTGATTGACCTGGATAAAAAACAAATCTCTGTATATAGACCTTTGTTTATCACATTCAATCTGCAGCTTGTGTTTATTATATTTACATTCATCCAGACTCCCCATAAATGAGGAAGGGATAAGTAATTACAATCATCTGTGTTTTGTCCAACAGAAATGATTATAATCATGTGGTTAATGTTGCACAAATGTTACATAAGTTCCATTATGACATACATGAACCAAAGCAACTGGCAATTTTCTATCTATAAACTGAACTTTTATGTTATGTCACATGTGTGTAACTTTAACTGATATGTGCTTAAAAATTACATTTCATTGTATTTTTTTTCCTCTTTATACCTCAGTTTTGATTCTCTAGAGGATGAGACAAATTTGGTTGCAAAGGCACGACAGATACTGACAATGACTCACCACAGTCGACCTGTGTTTGAAACCAATGTCAGAATGGCTTACAACCTCTTACAGAAACACAAAGTCTCAAAGAAAGTACACGGTGTAAATGGGACAGTTTTTACAGATTTAGTCAAATCACTATGCAAGTAAGTCAAAATATGGAGAAAGTTTACACTTTAATCATAAATGATTTACCAAAACTGATACTTGTTTACATGTGGCATTATACTTGATATTGATTTATAATTAAACCTCCTTCAAGTTTAGATAATGTTAATCTAATACAGACTAGGAGAGGTTCACTTTAACCTACGCTTTATGTATTACAGATAATTTAGAAGCTTTGAGTATGTAGTGTTAATCAAATTGTCAGTCATTTTTCTGTCCTTCTGTCCGACCTTTAACTATTCTTGTTTTTGATATTTTTCTAGAGAAGCAATATCATTCCAAAAATTCAAGTTTGTTCCGCTTTATCTCTAGTCGTACATAGTCCATTTTTGGATGGATCAGAAAATACACAATGGCTGACACCCATCTTATATTTTGTCAATAAAAGTTAATTACTTTTTCTTGAGAGGAGCTAGATGAATCTTTCTCCAGTTTTATATAATGGTTCCATTTTGTCCCCAGTTGTATCCTTTTGATTTTGAACTGATTAGAAGATTAAATCGGCTGACATGTGGTCAATTTGGATTTAAATATGAAAATTTGTTATCCCTACATCGTCAGAAGCACTGAATGTGGATCTTTTCTCAGATTTTATACAGAGGTTCCCCATATCACTAAATTTTTTTCATGGTTATGTTTGAGATTTTATATTAGAAAAAGAAAGAAAATATGACAAAAACAACTTAAAGAAGAGAAAAGATCCAACTTTTAAGAGCAAATAAAGATCTAACAATGGTGTGTGCCAAGAGCCCCCTGGTTATAGTTAGAAAGCACTGGATTTATCTTTGTCAGATTTTATATGGAGGTTCAATATATCATTATTTTTCTAAGGGAATTTTCAATTTTGATAATGTGAAAATAATAAAAGAAATTATTGTTAAAAAATTGAAAAGAAGGGAAAAGATAAAAACTTTTAAAGATAAAACAAAGTTGTGTGGCAAGATACCTTTGGATATTAACATGTATTCAAGATTGCCACCAATCAGGCGTGGTACCCACCTAGACAGGATATCTCAAATATAAATGATTTATTTCTGGTAAAGCTATTGTGATGAAACATTATAGAAATGTACATTAGACGATCGTGGTCAAGTTTTAATTGATGTTAATATTGATTGGTTAGGTACGCGCTATTGATGTTAATATTGATTGGTTAGGTACGCGATTGATGTTAATATTGATTGGTTAGGTACGCGATTGATGTTAATATTGATTGGTTAGGTACGCTATTGATGTTAATATTGATTGGTTAGGTACGCGATTGATGTTAATATTGATTGGTTAGGTACGCTATTGATGTTAATATTGATTGGTTTGATGTTAATATTGATTGGTTAGGTACGCTATTGATGTTAATATTGATTGGTTAGGTACGCGATTGATGTTAATATTGATTGGTTAGGTACGCGATTGATGTTAATATTGATTGGTTAGGTACGCTATTGATGTTAATATTGATTGGTTAGGTACACAAGATGACTATGATCACTGCTACTATTTTGTATTGTAATTGATTCTATCATTATATTTGTTTCATTAATTACAGAGATATTCCTCAAACAGTCCAAAACAAACTATTAAAGAAGCTAGAGTGTGCTGAACATGAATGTATCAAATTTAATGTGTTTAGTTCAGGTGTCTTCACATGCTGTGTGCTACTTGGTAAGTACGGTAACTATGATCTCATTTAGTCTACTCTTACATATTCTTCTGTCGATAAACCCATGCCTGGTAATAAGCCCACCCAAAGATATTTCTGTTCAATAAAACAATAAAACAGTACAAGTTTCAATGGTGTAAGGATATACTTAGATAGGTATGTTAAGGTATTTTCTTTAAACTCAAACTTATATGCTATCTCTAACTGTAAAGAAAATAAATCTTATATCTTGGTTAAATTTTCCTTTAGAAACCGTTCTTATAATAGTGTACATGTACCCTGTGTTTATATCTATATTCATGGAATGTAATTATGAAGTTCCTACAAGTTGGAAGTATAATACAATCTCCAGATATCCCAAAACAATTTGTGTGGAATTATGAACCACATTAATGTGGAGGTGGTGCAAATTTTCACTTTTATTAGTTACCTCTCACTTCAGTCTCAGCATTATTTTGTCTCTTCAGAATTTGAGTTTGTCTTTCTAAGCATGAATGTTGAATTCAATATTATATCTACATATTAAAAACATTTTCACCATTACAATTATTATAAACTTTACATGGGGAGGAGGGAGGGGAGGTGGTATTCATGTCTCTTGTATGCTTATACCTGTATGATGAAGCTGTGATTCTGACCTTTTGTTGTCATAAGGTCAATGGAACTTGTTACATTCAAGACCTCCAAACATTTAAATAACATTTACAATGTATATGCAAAACAAATATTTTTAAGCAATCAATTTGACTATGGCAAACATAGTGCTCTAACTGCAACAAATATCACAAAATGAATGCTTTGTATGTAATGGTAAGTTTTTATTGTATCTGTTATATATTGGAGTATATTTTATATTTTTCAGACTATGTGAAACTGTCAGAAATGCTTTTTAAATCTATTGACCTTCAGAAGAGTGGAAAAGCAGACAAGGTGTTAAGTGAGACAGTCCTAGATCAATTAAGAACAGCTTTGGCTAGTAACAAATCTGATGCTAGAAGGTAACTAGAACTATTATGTAAAGCTCTGTATGAGGAGCTATTATCTATTGCATAGAAAAATTGATAGATATAAATTTATTTTCAACCATAATAGTCTACTGATTTCCGCTGTTGTATGATAGAACTCTTAGAACAGTATTTTTCAGATAGGTTATCTCCCTTGACTCATTACTACTTGTAAACATTGAATCAAACTGTTATCTCTTGGTCAACTTTGTCTCATTACTGTGCATTCTTTAATAACTCCAGAGATTTGACATTCTGACTCCAAGTGAAGTTGCGGGATTAATTCAATACTGTTGTAAAATGTAGGTGACAAGCTGACATGCTTTTGTAAATTGGCTCATGTCAACCCTTGCTGAAAGTGATAAGCGAGAGTACATCATTGCACTCAACATAGTGTACATTTGTCAACCTATAGAAAGGGACATGTTTTCACTCTGTTTTAGTCTGATAGTACACTTTCCCTGGTGCTCATGGCAAATAGATTTGTTCAAAATACATTAATGTATCATATATTCATATTGTTGATTATTACAAAGGATTATCAAAACACTTACAGTTGGCATTATAGCAAAAGTGATATAGACATGGATGTGTACATTTATATGTATAAGTAAGAAGGATAAATATAGCCACTGTACAACAGTATATATGTAATTGTAAGGAATGATAAGAAATACCCAGCCATCTCTATGGTTTGAACTAGAAACCCTTAGGTCTCTAGCTGTCATACCTCAGCAGGTGTGAAGCTGAGTTAACATAAATACACAGCTCCATAAAAATTGTCACAAAATGAAACATTTGCCAAATGATCCAAATTCATTTCAAGCTTTTGGAAGGATTTCCTCCAAAACCCCCTACTGGGACTCTGCCACATGACCCGAAGAAGAGGACTTTTGTCACCTTCAGTTCCTTCCTTTCTGCATATAGCTGTACTCAGTAGCTGTTTCTATTAACTCTAAACATATTTTATACAACTGACGAGTCCAGGATACAAACACTATTTCTGTATCACCTTCAGCCCTGATAATGCAGTATGTAAATTATAAGAACACCCTGTTTTTACAAATTAATTCTGTTTAATTAAATAAATCATTTTTTCCTAAATGATGAAGTGTTATCAACAAGTTGTTGGTATTTGGAATTAGTTTATTAATTAGACTATATTTGTTTTGTAAAACTTTTCAGAGTAGTGGAGTCTGGTTATAACTTAGGACCTGATGGGCTATACTATGCGCTAGACAAGGTAAATACCACTATATAATGTCATATATTCCTGTGTGTCAGAGGTGGTGTGATGTGTGTGAGATGTGGTATGTTGTGTGTGAGATGTGGTATGTTGTGTGTGAGAGGTGGTATGTTGTGTGTGAGAGGTGGTATGATGTGTGTGAGAGGTGGTATGTTCTGTGTTAGAGGTAGTATGTTGTGGGTGTCAGGTGGTGTGATGTGTGTGAGATGTGGTAAGTTGTGTGTGAGATGTGGTATGTTGTGTGTGAGAGGTGGTATGTTGTGTGTGAGAGGTGGTATGTTGTGTGTGAGAGGTGGTATGGTCTGTGTGAGAGGTGGTATGTTGTGTGTTAGAGGTAGTATGTTGTGGGTGTCAGGTGGTGTGATGTGTGTGAGAGGTGGTATGTTGTGTGTTAGAGGTAGTATGTTGTGGGTGTCAGGTGGTGTGATGTGTGTGAGAGGTGGTATGATGTGTGTGTGAGGTGGTATGTTGTGTGTGAGGGGTGGTATAATGTGTGTGAGAGGTGGTATGTTGTGTGTTAAAGGTAGTATGTTGTGGGTGTCAGGTGGTGTGATGTGTGTGAGAGGTGGTATGTTGTGTGTGAGAGGTGGTATGATGTGTGTGAGAGGTGGTATGATGTGTGTGAGAGGTGGTATGATGTGTGTGAGAGGTGGTATGTTGTGTGTGAGAGGTGGTATGATGTGTGTGAGAGGTGGTATGATGTGTGTGAGAGGTGGTATGTTGTGTGTGAGAGGTGGTATGTTGTGTGTTAGAGGTAGTATGTTGTGGGTGTCAGGTGGTGTGATGTGTGTGAGAGGTGGTATGATGTGTGTGTGAGGTGGTATGTTGTGTGTGAGGGGTGGTATAATGTGTGTGAGAGGTGGTATGCTGTGTGTTAAAGGTAGTATGTTGTGGGTGTCAGGTGGTGTGATGTGTGTGAGAGGTGGTATGATGTGTGTGGGAGGTGGTATGTTGTGTGTGAGAGGTGGTATGTTGTGGGTGTCAGGTGGTGTGATGTGTGTGAGAGGTGGTATGTTGTGTGTGAGAGGTGGTATGATGTGTGTGAGAGGTGGTATGATGTGTGTGTGAGGTGGTATGTTGTGTGTGAGGGGTGGTATGATGTGTGTGAGAGGTGGTATGTTGTGTGTTAAAGGTAGTATGTTGTGGGTGTCAGGTGGTGTGATGTGTGTGAGAGGTGGTATGATGTGTGTGGGAGGTGGTATGTTGTGTGTGAGAGGTGGTATGATGTGTGTGAGAGGTGGTATGTTGTGTGTGAGAGGTGGTATGTTGTGGGTGTCAGGTGGTGTGATGTGTGTGAGAGGTGGTATGTTGTGTGTGAGAGGTGGTATGTTGTGTGTGAGAGGTGGTATGTTGTGTGTGAGAGGTGGTATGTTGTGGGTGTCAGGTGGTGTGATGTGTGTGAGAGGTGGTATGATGTGTGTGAGAGGTGGTATGTTGTGTGTGAGAGGTGGTATATTGTGGGTGTCAGGTGGTGTGATGTGTGTGAGAGGTGGTATGTTGTGTGTGAGAGGTGGTATGTTGTGTGTTAGAGGTAGTATGTTGTGGGTGTCAGGTGGTGTGATGTGTGTGAGAGGTGGTATGATGTATGTGAGAGGTGGTATGTTGTGTGTTAGAGGTAGTATGTTGTGGGTGACAGGTGGTGTGATGTGTGTGAGGGGTGGTATGTTGTGGTTGAGAGGTAGTATGATGTGTATGAGAGGTGGTATGATGTGTGTGAGAGGTGGTATGTTGTATGTGAGGGGTGGTATGATGTGTCTGAGGTGGTATGATGTGTGTGAGAGGTTGTATGATGTGTGTGAGAGGTGGTATGATGTGTGTGAGAGGTGGTACGTTGTGTGCGAGAGGTTGTATGATGTGTGTGAGAGATGGTATGTTGTATGTGAGGGGTGGTATGATGTGTCTGAGGTGGTATGATGTGTGTGAGATGTGGTATAATGTGTGTGAGAGGTTGTATGATGTGTGTGAGAGGTGGTATGTTGTATGTGAGAGATGGTATGTTGTATGTGAGGGGTGGTATGATGTGTCTGAGGTGGTATGATGTGTGTGAGATGTGGTATGATGTGTGTGAGAGGTGGTATGATGTGTGTGAGAGGTGGTATGATGTGTGTGAGAGGTGGTATGATGTATGTGAGAGGTGGTATGTTGTATGTGAGAGGGGGTATGTTGTGTGTGAGAGGTGATATGATGTGTGTGAGAGGTGGTATGATGTGTGTGAGAGGTGGTATGATGTTTGTGAGATGTGGTATGTTGTATGTGAGAGGTGGTATGTTGTGTATGAGAGGTGGTATGATTTGTGTGAGAGGTGGTATGATGTTTGTGAGAGGTGATATGATGTGTGTGAGAGGTGGTATGATGTGTGTGAGGGGTGGTATGTTGTGTGTGAGAGGTGGTATGTTGTGTGTGAGGTGGAATGATGTGTGTGAGAGGTGGTATGATGTGTGTGAGAGGTGGTATTTTTTGTGTGAGAGGTGGTTTGTTATGTGTGAGAGGTGGTATGATGTGTGTGAGAGGTGGTATGATGTATGTGAGAGGTGTTATGATGTGTGTGAGAGGTGGTATGATGTATGTGAGAGGTGGTATGTTGTATGTGAGAGGGGGTATGTTGTGTGTGAGAGGTGGTAGTTGTATGTGAGAGATGGTATGATGTGTGTGAGAGGTTGTATGTTGTATGTGAGAGGTTGTATGATGTGTGTGAGAGGTGGTATGTTGTATGTGAGGGGTGGTATGATGTGTCTGAGGTGGTATGATGTGTGTGAGAGGTGGTATGTTGTGTGTGAGAGGTGGTTTGATGTGTGTGAGAGGTGGTATGTTGTGTGCGAGAGGTTGTATGATGTGTGTGAGAGGTGGTATGATGTATGTGAGAGGTGGTATGATGTGTGTGAGAGGTGGTATGTTGTGTGTGAGAGGTGGTATGATGTGTGTATGATGTGTGTGAGAGGTGGTATGTTGTATGTAAGAGGTGGTATGATGTGTGAGAGGTGGTATGTTGTATGTGAGAGGTGGTATGATGTGTGTGAGAGGTGGTATGTTGTATGTGAGAGGTGGTATGATGTGTGTGAGAGGTGGTATGTTGTATGTAAGAGGTGGTATGATGTGTGAAAGGTGGTATGTTGTATGTGAGAGATGGTATGATGTGTGTGAGAGGTGGTATGATGTGTGTGAGAGGTGGTATGATGTGTGAAAGAGGTGATATGATGTATGTGAGAGGTGGTATGATGTGTGTGAGAGGTGGTATGATGTGTGAAAGAGGTGATATGATGTATGTGAGAGGTGGTATGTTGTGTGTGAGAGGTGGTATGATGTGTGTGAGAGGTGGTATGTTGTATGTAAAACGTGGTATGATGTGTGAGAGGTGGTATGTTGTATGTAAGATGTGGTATGATGTATGTGAGATGTGGTATGATGTGTGTGAGAGTTGGTATGATGTATGTGAGAGGTGGTATGTTGTATGTGAGGGGTGGTATGATGTGTGTGGGAGGTGGTATGTTGTGTGTGAGAGGTGGTATGTTGTGTGTGAGAGGTGGAATGATGTGTGTGAGAGGTGGAATGATGTGTGTGAGAGGTGGTTTGATGTGTGTGAGAGGTGGTATGATGTGTGAGAGGTGGTATGTTGTGTGTAAGAGGTGGTATGATGTGTGAGAGGTGGTATGTTGTGTGTGAGAGGTGGTATGTTGTGTATGAGAGGTGGTATGATGTGTGAGAGATGGTATAATGTATGTGATAGGTGGTATGATGTGAGTGAGAGGTGGTATGATGTGAGTGAGCGGTTGTATGATGTGTGTGAGAGGTTGTATGATGTGTGTGAGAGGTGGTATGTTGTATGTTAGAGGTGGTATGATGTGTGAGAGGTGGTATGTTGTATGTAAGAGGTTGTATGATGTGTGAGAGGTGGTATGATGTGTGTGAGAGGTGGTATGATGTGAGTGAGAAGTTGTATGATGTGTGTGAGAGGTGGTATGTTGTGTGTGAGAGGTTGTATGTTGTGTGTGAGAGGTTGTATGTTGTATGTGAGAGGTGGTATGATGTGAGTGAGAGGTGGTATGATGTGAGTGAGAGGTTGTATGATGTGTGTGAAAGGTTGTATGATATGTGTGAGAGGTGGTATTTTGTGTGTGAGAGGTGGTATGATGTGAGTGAGAGGTAGTATGATGTGTGTGAGAGGTAGTATGATGTGTGTGAGAGGTAGTATGATGTGTGTGAGAGGTGGTATGTTGTGTGTGAGAGGTGGTATGATGTGAGTGAGAGGTAGTATGATGTGTGTGAGAGGTGGTATGATGTGTGTGAGAGGTGGTAGTTGTATGTGAGAGGTGGTATGATGTGAATGAGAGGTTGTATGATGTGTGTGAGAGGTTGTATGATGTGTGTGAGAGGTGGTATGTTGTGTGTGAGAGGTTGTATGATGTGTGTGAGAGGTGGTATGATGTGTGTGAGAGGTGGTATGATATGTGTGAGGGTTGGTATGTTGTGTGAGAGGTGGTATGATCATCTTTGTTATATCAAAATCCAAATGGAGTAAAAATTCATCTTTGCAAATGAACTGATACCATGTTGTTTTTGTTTTTTTTTTAATTTATTGTGAAACTGGTTTTCAACACAATGACTGATAAGAACTTGTATTAAAGTGGTTTTGAATGTAAGGTCATATATACTTCCTTCTTCAGATACTTTACTTACTGTCTGGATGTTAGGTATATAAGGAAAAAGATCACTATATATATATGTATATCCTGTTACAACCAGCCAGTGAGTCTGTACATATTCTATAGATCAACAGTATCATGTTACATCATAGGTCATATGTCTGCATCATACATCACAGTCACATTCTTTATTAATGTTAGGGACTGTGTTTTATTTTGGTTGAATATATTCTATGGGGCGTGAATAGAATATATTCTATTGGGCGTGACTAGAATATATTCTATGGGGCGTGAATAGAATATATTCTATTGGGCGTGACTAGAATATATTCTATTGGGCGTGAATAGAATATGTTCTATTGGGCGTGACTAGAATATATTCTATTGGGCATGAATAGAATATATTCTATTGGGCATGACTAGAATATATTCTATGGGGCGTGAATAGAATATATTCTATTGGGCATGACTAGAATATATTCTATTGGGCGTGAATAGAATATATTCTATTGGGCGTGATTAGAATATATTCTATGGGACGTGAGTAGAATATTTACTATGGGTTTTTATTAGAATATATTCTAAGGGGCGTGATTATAATATATTCTATGTGGCGTGAATAGAATATATTCTATTGGGTGTGATTAGAATATATTCTATGGGGCATGTTTAGAATATATTCTTTAGGATGTCATTAGAATATATTCTATGGGGCATGCTTAGAAATATATTCTATGGGGTATAATTAGAATATATTCTATGGGGTGTGATTAAAATATATTCTATGTGGCGTGAATAGAATATATTCTATTGGGCGTGATTAGAATATATTCTATGGGGCGTGTTTAGAATATATTCTTTAGGATGTCATTAGAATATATTCTATGGGGCATGCTTAGAAATATATTCTATGGGGTATAATTAGAAGATATTCTATGGGGTGTGATTAAAATATATTCTATGTGGCGTGAATAGAATACATTCTGTGGGACGTGATAAGAATATATTTTAAAATTTAGTTAACTCTAATCATTATATTTACATGTCAGTGTCTTTTCATCACACTTTACTGTGTGGCAATCATTGTTAGTATGCGACATTAATAAATAAACTTATATTTATTTTACAACAATTGTGAAACAAGTTTTTCCAACTTATATTAATTACTCTTGTTGGCCGGGATGTAAGCGCGTGTGGGATCTTATTATCAGAGGAAATCGGGGTACCCAGGGAAAACCCACATGGTCCAACAGGTGACCCCATACTTTTTCACATCCATTACGGGAATCGAACCCTGGACAACCATGTAGAAGGCCAGTGTGTTACCACTATCACACCTGACCACCCAGTATGTGACATAATAACTCTGGAAGTAGGAGGTGGTTTGATGTTTTTAAGTGTAATAATAACATTAAAAATAGAAACATTTTCAATGATTTTTATGTTTAATCTTATTAGGAATTTATTTTTGTGTCTTATTGGATAATTATAATAAACAAAATGTAATTATATATTCATGTGTTTGGTAGTCCCTGTAACATTTTCATGCACAAGTTCAAAGGATAATGTTTCCATGCTAGTAAGGTAAACATTTTAATCAGGTAATGTTGTATAGTGATAAAACTAGTGTAAATATAACAGAATATGCAAATGAAAAGTATCACATACTTTAAAGATCAGTTAACGAGGATGTGACCTTACTTTTGTGTGCTTAGTTGTTTTGTCATTTTAAACTTCAGCAAACTTAGATATCATCTCATATCTGTCATATCTCCTATAAGAAAGATCAGTATGTAATATATAAGTAAATGTGACATCATCCAATCAAATTCTACACCAGGTGAAACATCAAAGATCACCTTTGACAATTTTTTAATAACAAAAAGCTTGATATAATACATGTATCTTATGAAGCCCATATTCTGGGCATATTCTGTAAATAATATTTTATTAGCTCACCTGAATCAAAGGGCCAAATGAACTCAGAATAGAGGGACACTGTGTTGACTGTCAACTTTTCCTATTAATTGCAACTAGTCATGAAAGACTGAATGGATTTTTATCAAATGTAGTGTGAAGCATCCTTGAGGGAAAAAAAATCCTTGAGGGAAGGAAATCAAATCTGTATAAAGAATGGATGAGGGGCCTGAGGGGCAGGACCCAATAGGGAAAACCTATCAATTTCTTTAAATCTCTCTTGTTCTTTAAGTCTGAAGCATGCTTTGGCTAAGGGAAATCAATTTTGTATACAATGTGTGTCTGGGCCTCCCGGGGCCAAAGGGGCAGGGCTGAATAGGGAAAATCTATCAATTTCTTAAAATCCATCCTGTTCTTCAGGAATGGCCGTATAAATGGTGGGTATAGACCCCACAGGGCAGGAGATGTCGGGTTCAATAGCGGTAATAGGACAAATTCTTGAAAATCATTCTTATATAGGAATGCCAGGATTCAGTCCCAATTTGATCTAAGACATGCTTGGATGAAGGGGATTCATTCTATATGAACAGTGGGTACCTGCCCACAGAGGTGGAAATAGAGCAAATTCTTGTATGTCTTTCTTATGATGGAACTGATGACTGATTGTTGAAGAGAATTAAATTTTTTACCAACAATGCATCTAATCCCCTTTTGGAGGAGGAGGAGTGAGCCATTGTGGTAGAATAAATCAATTTCAGCAAACTAAACCACATGAATGATACAGGCCCTATGGGCCTCTTGTTTTATATCATAATTATTGTATGGAATAAAGTGAGTAGCTCTTGGTACACCAAAACTTAACTTGTATTTAGGATTATATAGAATATACAAATAAGTGTTTCTCCATAATAGGACTTCTTCCCATCAGAAGCAGTTTTATTTTACTCCATGAAATTTTACAGGGTAGCAGATATTTACAGCTTTGTCCATCTATAAGGCCCTCGTTCCATCTATCCTTTTGTGTCAGAAACATAACATAGTTCAATGTAAAGCAAGGTTCATGAAACTTGATGGAAACATTTGTCATGCTAAGACAATATACAGTGTGTCAGATTCAGGGCCATCAACCCCTTGATTACAGAATTATTGCCCTTTGTTAAGATGTTATGTCCACAATAAAGTTGTTTTTGAGGAGCATTCGTCATACTGTGATATTGTGATTGCTTTAATTGTCTGTGCATGTACACACTAATGTGCAATTCTATGATAACAATCTCATAAACTTACAAACAGATCGGATTCATATTCATAGCATCTTATCAGCAAAGTCTTTACCTGACTTGATTTTGGTGGTCACTTTGTATAAAAAAGATTAAAACATGCTTTTATTTTCTGTAAGGCTATGAAGAGAGGAAATCACAACCAGGGAGCACAGACACTAGACCAGTTTACGACAGAGGCCTGTGATGCTTTCCTAACAAAGGTAATAAGGCAGCACACTTTACTGATCACATAATGACCAAATAAGGAGCCATGCTAGGACAATGTTCCATAAATTTCAATATAGAGCAAAACAATCGTGAGGCAGTTTATATAATCTTACATATATCATCCATGTTGGAAAAGGGCAAGGGGTCTTAACTGTGTGGTTATGTAGGCGACCTCATACCCTTTTCATTTTCAATTTACAAACTAAATGTATTTTAGAGTTAGCTTTTTCACATATTAGTCACTTTTCATGGTCAAGATTGAAGTGCACGTGAAGTCTTACTGTGGGAGGAAATCTTAGTCCCAAGGGAAAAAACCCATGTGGTTATGCAGGTGATCCTAAACTATATCTTTTCATGTCCGATTGGAGAACAAAACACTGTATAGCTTACTTTAAAGGTGAGTACCACTAGATTTCTACATGTTCGAACATTTATATAAAACACATGCATTTAGATATATGTATAAAGCATTAATTGTGCATTAAAGGAATTAATTAAATTTTTGTTTTGTTTTCAGGTGAAGAAAATATGTTGATGAACGATGTATTATAGAGAAAATGTATGGACATATACTTCACAGGTGGTACCTAAAACACACAACTTCAACATGAGAACAAGTCGACGACAAATTTATTCATAAAAAGTTGAGTTTCTGAAAATCCTTTAGGAGAACTACAAGATTTTGAGTATTACCATTGATATTTTTTATTTAAGTTATAACCTTGTTATGTGAATAGTGTTTCTTTTAAGCACAACTGGCTAGTAATCTTTTTGTGATCTTTCTGTGTCAAGAGGTCATTTGTTGAAGATTAAAAAAAATTCAATGACTGTTCCAAAGAAGGTGACAGTGTTGTCATGGAAACATCAGTATGATCACACATGTTGATCAGAAATCACAACAAAATCAAACCTGAATTTACATTATGCATTCATAGTCTTCACTCGGACATACACATTTTTAATATGGAACTCTGTACATATACCATACATGCCAGTCTGACTTGATAATCTCTGTATATTTTGAGATATCTTTCCATTGTTTTTTAAGAATTCGTAATATATTCTTAGTTTACATGTGTATAGTCACTCAAGTCTTGAAAACTACTTTACCATGTGTTTTCCCTTTACTATAGATAAGCCCTGATGACCTTTGTGTGTTGATGGGGCGTTAAGAATTTTACTTTATATACAGATGTTTTATACAGAGGAGCTCCTTAAACTTGACTTTAATTTTGAAGTAAAACTTTCTTAAAGTGAGATCATCAATAAGCAATAATTTAAAGGTTTCAGTGACACCCCTTATCTGTAAGTTAATTGATTCATCAATTAAAAAGGTTTCAGTGACACCCCTTATCTGTAAGTTAATTGATTCATCAATTAAAAAGGTTTCAGTGACACCCCTTATCTGTAAGCTAATTGATTCATCAATTAAAAAGGTTTCAGTGACACCCCTTATCTGTAAGATAATTGATTCATCAAATAAAAAGGTTTCAGTGACACCCCTTATCTGTAAGTTAATTGATTCATCAATTAAAAAGGTTTCAGTGACACCCCTTATCTGTAAGCTAATTGATTCATCAATTAAAAAGGTTTCAGTGACACCCCTTATCTGTAAGTTAATTGATTCATCAACTAAAAAGGTTTCAGTGACACCCCTTATCTGTAAGTTAATTGATTCATCAATTAAAAAGGTTTCAGTGACACCCCTTATCTGTAAGTTAATTGATTCATCAATTAAAAAGGTTTCAGTGACACCCCTTATCTGTAAGCTAATTGATTCATCAATTAAAAAGGTTTCAGTGACACCCCTTATCTGTAAGCTAATTGATTCATCAATTAAAAAGGTTTCAGTGACACCCCTTATCTGTAAGCTAATTGATTCATCAATTAAAAAGGTTTCAGTGACACCCCTTATCTGTAAGCTAATTGATTCATCAATTAAAAAGTTTTCAGTGACACCCTTTATCTGTAAGCTAATTGATTCATCAATTAAAAAGTTTTCAGTGACACACCTTATCTGTAAGCTAATTGATTCATCAATTAAAAAGTTTTCAGTGACACCCCTTATCTGTAAGCTAATTGATTCATCAATTAAAAAGGTTTCAGTGACACCCCTTATCTGTAAGCTAATTGATTCATCAATTAAAAAGGTTTCAGTGACACCCCTTATCTGCAAGCTAATTGATTCATCAATTAAAAAGTTTTCAGTGACACCCTTTATCTGTAAGCTAATTGATTCATCAATTAAAAAGTTTCCAGTGACACCCCTTATCTGTAAGCTAATTGATTCATCAATTAATAAATCAATATTTGAATTGATTTATTAGTCTGTTCAGCTCAAATACTGTGGTTTATTTCAAGAACACTAAGAGAAAATTCAAGCTTCAGTTTTCTTTTTCTCAATTTGTCCAAGAAGTTCCCTAACTCATGAAACTTCACTGTAAGGATGGATGGATGGATGCCTGTTATGTGTATGTTGATTAAAGTTTTGTTTCAAAATATCTTAGATAGATTAACGTGTGTTTTTTAAGAGAGTAACAGACTGAAATAAAATTGTTCAAAACAGTATTGTGTTATAGTGATCAATGAGACATTAAGTGTCGTTTGTTGTATTGTGTCAAAATGACCAATAAGACATTAAGTGTGGTATGGTGTGTAGTGTCAAAATGACCAATAAGACATTAAGTGTGGTAGGGTGTGTAGTGTCAGAATGACCAATAAGACATTAAGTGTGGTATGGTGTGTAGTGTCAGAATGACCAATAAGACATTAAGTGTGGTATGGTTTGTAGTGTCAAAATGACCAATAAGACATTAAGTGTGGTAGGGTGTGTAGTGTCAGAATGACCAATAAGACATTAAGTGTGGTATGGTGTGTAGTGTCAGAATGACCAATAAGACATTAAGTGTTGTAGGGTGTGTAGTGTCAGAATGACCAATAATACATTAAGTGTGGTATGGTGTGTAGTGTCAGAATGACCAATACGACATTAAGTATGGTAGGGTGTATAGTGTCAAAATGACCAATAAGACATAAAGTGTGGTAGGGTGTGTAGTGTCAGAATGACCAATAAGACATTAAGTGTGGTGGGGTGTGTAGTGTCAGAATGACCAATAAGACATAAAGTGTGGTAGGGTGTCTAGTGTCAGAATGACCAATAAGACATTAAGTGTGGTAGGGTGTGTAGTGTCAGAATGACCAATAAGACATAAAGTGTGGTAGGCTGTGTAGTGTCAGGATGACCAATAAGATATTAAATGTGGTAGGGTGTGTAGTGTCAGAATGACCAATAAGACATTAAGTGTGGTAGGGTGTGTAGTGTCAGAATGACCAATATGACATAAGGTGTGGTAGGGTGTGTAGTGTCAGAATGACCAATAAGACATTAAGTGTGGTAGGGTGTATAGTGTCAGAATGACCAATAAGACATTAAGTGTGGTGGGGTGTGTAGTGACAGAATGACCAATAAGTGTGGTATGGTGTGTAGTGTCAGAATGACCAATAAGACATTAAGTGTGGTAGGGTGTGTAGTGACAGAATGACCAATAAGACATTAAGTGTGGTAGGGTGTATAGTGTCAGAATGATCAATAAGACATTAAGTGTGGTAGGGTATGTAATGTCAGAATGACCAATAAGACATTATGTGTGGTATGGTGTGTAATGTCAGAATGACCAATAAGACATTAAGTGTGGTAGGGTATGTAATGTCAGAATGACCAATAAGACATTAAGTGTGGTAGGGTGTATAGTGTCAGAATGACCAATAAGACATTAAGTGTGGTGGGGTGTGTAGTGACAGAATGACCAATAAGTGTGGTATGGTGTGTAGTGTCTGGATGACCAATAAGACATTAAGTGTGGTAGGGTGTGTAGTGTCAAAATGACCAATAAGACATTAAGTGTGGTATGGTTTGTAGTGACAGAATGACCAATTACACATTAAGTGTGGTAGGGTGTGTAGTATCAGAATGACCAATAAGACATTAAGTGTGGTAGGGTGTGTAGTGTCAGAATGACCAATAAGACATTAAGTGTGGTGGGGTGTGTAGTGACAGAATGACCAATAACACATTAAGTGTGGTATGGTGTGTAGTGTCTGGATGACCAATAAGACATTAAGTGTGGTAGGGTGTGTAATGTCAGAATGACCAATAAGACATTAAGTGTGGTATGGTGTGTAGTGACAGAATGACCAATTACAGGGTGTGTAGTGTCAGAATGACCAATAAGACATTAAGTGTGGTAGGGTGTGTAGTATCAGAATGACCAATAAGACATTAAGTGTGGTAAGGTGTGTAGTGTCAGAATGACCAATAAGACATTAAGTGTGGTGGGGTGTGTAGTG